ACTGGGCCAAGAATACATGCCTGCTGGACCCCACTGGAAACATCATCACAGTAACACCTGCAGGCCTCATCTGAGATCACGGTCCCACTGCGCTAGCTGCTGTACATATACGTAGTAAGAGACCATCCCCGCCTCAAAGGGCTCACAGTCCCCATAGACATGAGAGGCAAACCACCGGTGGAAAAGGATTATTGTGTTACAGATGGGGAACAGCGGCATGGCATGATTAAGTGACTTGCCCAAGGAAATCTGTGGCAGAGCTGGGAATTGTACCCAGATCTCCTGACTTCCAGTTCATGCCCTGGCCCACAAGGCCATTCTTCGACTTAAAGGAACATCCTGGAGCAGGCTCCAATGAGCAGGCAGCATCAGTGGTTGAATCCCAACAGAAGCCTCACTGCGGCGATGGAAGCGGCACCAGAGAGTGGAGTGTGAGAACCCTGGCAGTAGATGCTACAAGGACAGAAGGAGAATTGCCCAAATGACCCACCTGTTTAATATTTCGGTCAGCCGCTGCGATGCCTCCAAAACTCGCCTCCGACGCTTAAAAACAAACAGGGGTGCGATGGGGGTCAGAATTGCTCTAATACACGTCTGGCAACATAGCAAGGACTTCATAACTAATGCTCTTTGCCTAGCAGGGTGGCAAGGTTATGTTGAGATGACTTTATTTTGCTTTATTCCAAGAATTAAAATCCATATATTAAAATACGTCACTTCCCCTGGTGGGCATTTCCCAGACCTGGCTGTTCAGGGACATGATATTCAAGGCTACATTTTCGAAATGTCTCTGTCTGTACTTGCAATAAAACAATTTGTGTGCACCTGATGGGTCCTTTGGTACAAGTATGAATGAGGCGGGGCTCTCAAACACCGTATGTTCCTCAAGAAGGCCGTCTGGCCAATTCTGAAGAACCAGGTTTTCCGAACTACCATTTAATTTAAAGAGTGCTACCCTCTCCTAGGTCGTCTTGATCTCAGTGTTCTATCCACACAAGTAAGAAAAACGAATCATGTAAATTTGATATTGGATATAATCTATATGGTCCCTTTGGGGCTGGTGCGGTCACATTCCGAGGGTGTTTACACTGAAGCGGGAGCACCTGTGACAATCTGGTCAATTGTCTTGGTAGCTGAAACGGCCAAGAGCTTTTCTGCCACTGAGGTGAAAGTGACCAATGAAACCTTGGGTGACCAGTGATGGACAGAGACTGGACATCCAGCCAGACCGTCTTAAAGACCTAGCTAGAGATCGATTTGCATGGCGCTCGTTCTGCATGGAGACCACGCCCCTTAAGGATCTGCTTTGTTGATGGTAAGCTATACGGAGCCATGCCTGGAAACCAAACGTTTCATGTGGGAAAGGAGGAAGAAGGGTTAGTCCAACAGAACAGACTCAAAGGGAAGTGGGGGAAGCCATCTCACACATTATTTGATTCATGTTAAGTGGGCAAAGCACTTAAGAACATAATACAGGGAATAAATTTACTAGGGGTGACATTTTCAAAAGCATTTAAGCAACTAAATCCCATTTTGAAAAGTGACTTCGGAATTTAGGAGACTAATTTTCATTAAAAGCCAAAAGGACTTTGGCTCTAAGTCACTTACATTCTTTTGGAAATGTTATCCCAGTCTTTTTCCATCTCTAACTTCTACCCTCAAATGGGAAGCAAGCGCAGATCAGAAAAATCTGCTGGCAATACTTCAGAACATCGGGAACCTTGATTTTCAGGTGTGTCTGCTAATTCTGGGTACCCAGCTTGTCACACCGATAGCTTAATTCTTTCACAGGTTCTACAAACTACAGTCGGAACTGCAGGCGCTTAAGCTGTATCGAAACTAAAGATCGAGGCACCCAGAATTAACAAACACTTGAGAATTCAGGTCGTTGATGCCTGACCCTAGAAATATCAATTGCTAGCTGAGAGGAAGAGCTAGAAATAGGACTTGGGTACCATACCTCTTCAGACACTTGCTCCTTTAGATAGGAAAAAGGAACCCCCAGTAAATGAAGTGGTCTTTGTGCGTTCCAGCCCAGAGAGTCGGGGAGCTGTAAAGATCAGAGACTGCACTAGTATTTACAAAGCACAGGTTCATATTTCACCCTTAGAAAGAGTGTACTCAGCTTCCAACACTACATTGGAGGCCACAAAACAAACCTACCCAACCCGGTCTCTAGTTGCCAGATCTTACCTCCACTCCAATTCTGGAGTGATCTTCCTTCAGAACCATGAAGACTCTGGTGCCATCAGCAGAAGTCACATTGACATAGTCCTCCAGGATGGGCGGGCGCTTGAGAACCCGTTTCGGGTCCTTTTCAGGGGGTGGCGTCATGCGCAGTGGAACCATGTCGCTCACTTCCAGGCTATCTGGGCTCACGAACTTTGGACTCCTTTAACACAGGAACACAAGAGAAAGTGCCCATGAAATCACATTCCCAGCAGGCTAAACTCAATGTACCAAAACTTGCTTCAAAGCTGAAACATTAGAATCGAATACACCCAAAATCAGATTTCATGGGCCAAAGTCACCAGAAAATGGCAACAAATACAAGCAGGAAAATGCTGTGCAAACTTCCCCCAACCAAGCTCTGTCATCCACACAAAGTCTGCCAGGCGGCATTCCCAGCTAGTCTAGTACTGGGCGCCCTCCACACAGCACTGCCAACGAACCTACATGCTGGTCTGCAGCACTTTGTAGTCTAGTCACCTGCAGTTTCTGGCCTGATATTACAGTCCCCTCCATACACCACTCTGCTGACCCTCAAACGTGACCCCCCCAGTCCTTCTCTTCCCTCCCTGTCAAAGCCCCTGAACCTGACCTTGTGCTCCTGACATGCCCAAGAAAGGCACTCAAATACCACTGCAATGAGTATGGTATCAAGGTTTAGATAGTGAGGGGTCTCTCCTGAGCAGAAACAGCCTGTGCTGTTAGTTCTGTGAAGTGGACACAAAAAGAGACTAGGATAAAGCCACCCACATAGTTTTCCCTTGTAACCTAAATGGACATCTAACCCCAAGCTTCCAAAGACCTTTAGTTTACTGCATAAGTTTAGCGCCAAGATTTAAAATTACTGACTGTCAAGGGCCTTCCTCACAACAGTGACAAAATAATGAGAAAGGGATTCAAACCCTGTTCACCTGGCACGTTGCGGTTTGGAGCAGTCCCCGGGGGAAGGAGGCGGGGTAATGTCATCCTGGGGGAAATCAGGAGAGGCCAATTTGTCCTCCACACCAAAATTCAGCTTCTTAACGGCTTCAAGTCTTCGTCGCTTTGGCTTAGGAGCTGTTCGACACAAAGGGAAGTGGGGGAGGGAATGTCGATCAAAGCAGGGTATTTACAGAGAGCTAATACAACTCCTTTCATCCAAGGATCTCAATGCACTTTATAAGCATTAGTGAACAGAGCTTCATATCCCCTTGTATCCCCTTTTAACAGACAGGCAACTGAGGCACAGTAAGGCAAACTGACTTGCCCAAAGAGTCAACAAGATTGACAGGAACGGAAGCCGGAAGCCCGAGTTTCCAAGATCGTCCTGCTAGGACACACACTAATGTTTCCTGAATTAGAGAGATTCCATACAGTAAACTTTTCAGTGAAATGGCCTGCTCAGTGCCCACCTTTGGGACACCCTGAGAAATGAACATCAGTTGCCTCAAAGAGGAACATGGGCTTGGGAGGCAGGTGGCAGGCGTCCGCTTTACCCTCTAGGTTAGAACAAACATGACAAACTGGCCAATCCAGCGTCATGCCAATAGCCTGAGCTGCAAAGGGGATCAGCACCTAAGAAGAGCATTTAAGGTACAGCACCAAGTGGAGGCAAAGGGAGGCACAAAGGGGCCTTGGCCTACATGTAACCAAAGAGCATTTCCAAAACATACTGAGCACAGCAGGAGACTGGTGAGGGGGCAAGCTCTCCGAACACTCCTCCTCCTCGGATTCATACAGAATACACTCTAGATGCCGCTTCTTAGGGTTAGCCTCCCCAGTGCTCTCCACGGCATTTGTCTGGTGTTGAGAGTCCTTTTCCTTTAGAGCGGCAGAGTCCTTAACCACATCCCCGGCTGTTAGAGCTTCTTCAAACGTCTGCTTTCTGCTTCGGAGCTGGGACACTTTGGGGGCCGATGGCTGAGATGGGACATCTGAAAAAGATGTTTTTTTTAAATGACAGCGATATGATGTGACCCCATCTGCATGGCGGGAGCGGCCATGAATAAGCCTGATTTTCGCAGAGAAGATGCCAAACCAGACGGCAACACCAGCCAGCCAGCAGGCATAGCACTAAACCGGCCCTTTAGCCAGCTGAGCTTGAACAGGTTTCTTTTAAAATCCAGCTGGGTTCCGTCTACATTTGCTGGTCCAGCCACGTTCCAGGTCAGTCCAGCTACAAGCAACTTTAAACATGGTTGCCTGCCCCAGGGAGATGGAACCTCAGTATTGTATGAAGAAATGTACCACGCACGCACATTATTAGCATGTAAAACCCGCAGATAAGATTCATTGTTCCTCAAGTTTAAAGCCTGCAGGGAGCATAGTCAACACCCAAGACCAACACTATGTACAAGGACATTAGGTAACCGCCACAACGTGAGAAACCCCTTCCTGGGGCAAGGGGTTGATGGATCAAGGCTGGAGCTCCTGATACACTGGGCAACCCCGGCTCTGCCAGAGACCGGTGGGGGGGGGGGGGTTCCTCTCCTCCCCCCCGTGCAAGCATGACTGCAACACACTACCAACAAACCAGCTTTTGGACACACACAGCGCCACCCACCTTCCATCTCTGCCAGCACCTCCAGCTCGTCTGCAAACTGCTGATCGAACTCATCTTCAATGCCATACAGCTCCGGCTCCTCCATGAGCCCGGCCCCGAGCTCCGCTCCGCTCCCGGGGCCCTGCACCCCACGCACCAGCCTTGCACCGCCGCCGGCCCGGGCTTCCCCTGCAACTGGAAGCCGGGCGCGCGCCGCGCATGCCCTTCCGGGTAACGTTCCATCCCGCCGCCTCGCCAGCCGCTGATTGGCTGCCTCGCCCTTCACGCGCCGCGGCCCTGTCTCGTGTCGCACCCGGCTGGAAACAATGTAGCCGCGGCGCCTTTCCGCCAGCCCCGGGCGCAGGGCAGCAGCGGCAGGTCGGTGGCGCTCGGTGCATTTCGGGGGTGGGTGCTGGAAGCAGGTTTTCGCTGCTGGGGAACCCCCCGGGCCGGCGCGAAAAAGGGGGGAGGGGGTTGCACGAATTCCCTCCCTTCTGTCCCGTGCAGGGACCGTCACCCCTTTGCTTGTGCTGTTTTTGCAGCTGGCTCCAGAAGAAGTTGCTCCGAAGTCCTGCTGAGCTCCGGCTCCGGGCGGCAGGAGGACGCGCTGACTAGGCTAAGGGCTGCCGCTGGCACGTTATCCTGAAATCGGCCTCATCATCAATTAATAACCACCCCTCGCTGGCGCGTCTGCCGTTGGGAGGGGTCAGCGACAAGAAGCGGTGGATGAAGGGGGTCGTTACCCGTGGACCACAACGGGATGTGGGTCCCAACAACAGCTGGGGCCTGCAGCCTTCTTTTCTCCTGCTGTACATCATTGGATGCTGACTGCTACCAAAGCAAGCCTGGGTTTTGACAGGCGCTCAGACTATCCAGGAGAAGATCCTGTATAGGGGACAGTCTTGTATTGTGCCCTGGAGGTGATGGATGGGTTAGCGGGTGGAACCTTTTCCATCGTCAGTCATTCAGCCTGAACAGCAGGTGATTTATTTTTTATCTAAAAGTCAATATGTGATGCACAGCGTGTGTGGCGTTCCCATTGCACTGGTTTCTGGCGTTAAATGCACACCCTCCAATTTAAAAATCATCGATTATAAATAAACCATTCCTTGCCTATATTACTGACAACACTGATTCAGGTGCCAGCAATTCCTTTCTGTAGTACAAAGACATAGCCTTAGGTTATGATTGAATGGATTTTAAAACCTTTCACTCTGGATGGGTTTTGTTTACATTTTGCATTGCTCACAACTTGATCAACGAAGTGACTTTCACTTTTGTTTTTAGGGTTGCAGTTTTTCAGTTTCAGCCAATACAAGGATATAAATAGATCGGCACATATCTATTTCTGAATGACTTTTTCCCGTGGATTATACATTTTTTAATGGCACAGTAAAATTTCTGTTGGGTTGTGTAGAAGCTTTGCTTTACACCATCTAAATTTTGGGCCTAGTCTGAGTTGGCAGCATCCTTTCAATCATGGCCAGTGGAAAAGCCTGTCTGAAGTTCATCTGCCCCTCAGAGTGTGTTCGTTGTCAATCCCACGTCAGATGGGTGCACTCATTATTATAAATTATTTGTATTGTGGTAGCACTTAGGAGCCCCAGCCAAGGACGAGGACCCCATTGTGCTAGGCGCTGTACAACCGCATTGTGACTCCCAAATGTTGCATAGAGAGTAGAAGTGAGAGGGTTCACTGCCCTTTGTACACAGCAGGAAGTGGAGAATCCATTAACATCACCACATCACTGTACATCCCACAACAGGCAGGTGCACTCACTATTATTAATTACCCGTGTTGCGACAGTGCCCCAATCAGGGTCCCATTGTGATTGTTGCTGTATTAACACAATAAAAGACAGTCCCTGCCCCAAGGAGCTTGCTGTCTTTCTATGAGAAGACACATCAGGTGGGTGTAACAAACAATCGAAGAGGGTGGATGAAGGGAGGTGTGGAGCTTCTGCACCGCATCCCAGCAGTCCAGTGTATGTTTGATCAATTCTGATGCTTTGTTTTGTTTTTAAGGATTTTATAACCGAAAGAGCACACTCCCGAGGTGGAACGCTTACTTCCCTTCAAAGGGCCATGGAGCCGGGCAGCATTGATAACTTGTCCATCCTGTACCAGAGCTCTGACTTCATTGTGGTCAACAAGCACTGGGATGTTCGCATCGACAGCAAGATGTGGTATGAGAAGCTGACCCTGCAGAGCCAGCTGAAGTACCGTTTCCCAGAGCTGGCTGACCCAGACACGTATTATGGCTTCAGGTAAGTGTGCACGGAAGGGCAACGTTCATCTCAGCCCGACAGAGATGTTATCCCAGTGCACGTCCCCTCCGAGACAGCTGTGATATTCCAGGAACATGCCGCTTGCAAGACTAGGACCTAGAGAGCCAGGGATGAAACGTTCACAGGCCAGGGCAGTTGACTTGGAAATGAGCTACCAGAGCAGATTCGTCTGAACCAAAACCTGGCCCACTTCAGGACATGCTCCAAGCTGCGACCGTGTCCCACTGTAACGGGAGCCAAGGAAGCAAGGAGCATGGGGAAGAGGGAGAAGGTAAAGCTAGAATCGCTCCTGAAACCTGGGACCGGCAAAGAGCAGAATCCATCGCACACAGACAGTGCTTGGAGGATCTAAATTATCCCCTCGATGGTATTTAGGCGCCTAACTCCCACTGAAATCATTAGAAGTTACGCGCCTTTGAGGATAAAGGCCTAAGTACTGAGTTCCTGACTGCAAACTGCTCCAGGTTGGCTGACTGCTGGGCCATTCGGAATCCCCTTGACTTTAGCAGGGCTCCGTCTCAGTGGAAAGCCTCCATTCTCTGAGCAGTTTGCCCTAGATACACCTCTACCTTGCTATAACGCTGTCCTCGTGAGCCAAAAAAATCTTACCACGTTACAGGTGAAACCACGTTATATCGAACTTGCTTTGATCCGCTGGAGTGCGCAGCCTCTCCCCTCCCCCCCCGGAGCGCTGCTTTACTGCGTTATATCCGAATTCGTGTTATATCGGGTCGCGGTATATCGGGGTAGAGGTGTACTGCGATAATGGACACTACAGAAAAACCGAACCGAGAATGAAAAGCACTTACAATTAATTTAGATAAATTAGATAAACAAGACGTCCCATTGAAATGATGCTCTACCAGCAATGGGGATTAACTGTAACTATTTCGGTAAAAGCAAATTCAAGTTGCCAGTGTCCCTTTAAGAATGGATTTGTCTTGAGAGTATGCTGAGCACTTACATAAGGCTTTGCAACTTCAGAGCTGGGCAGATCTGGACTACAAGCTCTTGGTGTGGGCCTGGGCTTGGGCCAAGATCCAGCATGTACTTAGATGTACCCAAGCACCATCGGTTGGCCTTTTAGGGTGGGATTTTCAAAGTAGCCTATGGGAGTTAGGCACCCAAACTCAATGCCCCGCATTTAAACCATTACGCCAGTGGGTGAAAGACCCAGCTGTGGCTTTTCAGAATCCTATGGAGGGCGTTTCTGACCCTCCCTTGCACTATCTATCTCTCCTAGGTTTTGCCATCAGCTAGACTTTTCCACCAGTGGGGCCCTCTGCGTTGCTCTCAATAAAGCGGCTGCCGGTAGCGCGTACAAGTGTTTTAAGGAACGGATGGTGACCAAGGCCTACCTCGCTCTGGTAAGCGTAGCCCCCTCTGCATGGGCTCTGTCATGGTCCATGTCCTCTCGGCCACCATTCATTGCATCCTGCCCTTTTAATGGCAGCGTTACTCTCCAAGGCGTATAAACCGGTGGTGTGTCCTCAGCCATTTTTGGTGAAGGTTGGGATTCTGAAGGCACATCTGGCTCACAGCTGTTCAGCAGCAGCACCGGTGATGAGGCGCTAGAACTAAACCATAAGGCTCGGCTAACACCTGAGAGTAAGATCGGGGACTGACTTAATTTTTAAACATTCTAATCCCCCCCTTCCTATTCGCTCCAGGTTTCAGGGCCCACACTGCTGTCTCTGACCCTTCCTTCTAGGGGCTGTGGAATCTCCCCAGCAAGAGCAGCATTTCCGGACGAAGGGTCTCAGAAAGGAAAAACCGATGCAGGGGTTGAGCCTAGCTCCGTACTTGCCAATCAGAGTCTGACCAGGCTACGTGTTTCATGTCTTGAGTTAATGGAACTTTTTGTCTCTGCAGCTGTTTGCGCTGTACAGGTCAGCGCGTGTTTATTGGAGAACGGGGCTAGGTGTTACAATGGGGCTGTCCTTTCCTTCCATTTTGGCCCTGGATCCTCGGCCCACGGACTGTCCTCGCCCCTCCGTCTCTCTTAACATGATGATTACTGCTGCCGCCATGACGAGAACAGAGGAAAACCTCTCCCCGCCTTCACCCCTGCTATCCAGCTATGCATCTAACAACGTCAGGTTTACATCCCTGAGCGTGCTCGGAGCAATGCCTGTCGCACACAACGGGGGAGTGTTCTCAGAACCTGACCAGCATCAGCCCAAAAAGACAGGCACACAGTGCTGCTCGGGGCTGCCCACGCTCAACTTTTTTCTAGGCTGTGGGTCATGATGGTTTCCCTGGGACCTGTCTGCATTAATCTCCTGACCCCAGGGCCAGTTGTGCCCAGGAGAGAGATAATCAGCTTTCGTTTTGGGAGAGTTTTTTTTAATCTGTCACTGATCATGTCACTAGGGCTCTTTCTTGGGTGTGCCAAGTCTCTACACCTGGAGGATCCCGGACCTTGCTGTTGAATGCCTAGTATTCTGCCCTTTGCAGAGCTATTTGCGTAGCTTGGTCAGATAAAATCCCTGCTGGCTTTTGGTTGAGGTGCAATTTCCAGCAAGCAGGCCATTATTTCTTGTTGTACAAAGTTCACGTTGACCCTCCCGGTGTGAATTTTCCCAGCATGCACTGTGGCACCAGCTCTCTAGGCGGCAATGGACCGTGAGCTGTGCCCTTTTTCGGTATTGTGTGTTTCTACATAAGTGGAGGCACGTGCTGCTGGTCCTGAAGAGGGCTTTCCATGAGGAGATGTGGCGCTGGCTGGGTTGTGACGGTTTCCTGTTGAAACCAACCAATTCTTGATACTTGGGGCCAATGGCAGACAGTACGATCTGAGAGCAGGTGTTGTGCCAGCCAAACAGATGGGCAAGAGACTAGCCAGAGTTTATGCATATCTGAAGTGTGTGTTTGTTGCAGCAGTGCCCGGGGCTTGCATTGGGAAGTGCCAGGTTATAAAGCTGCAGGTGGCTGTTCCATTTCCTCCCCAGAAGAAGGGTATGGAGTGATCTACAGGGGTTGATGGTCAGTCTAATATAACTTCCATGCCCCTTGGACATCCTCTCTGGAAGGCACAGACGTCTATTCCATAGCTTCCCATGGGCTTCTGCCACCAACAGGCTGAAGAAGATTAATAGATTCATAGGTTTGGAGGGTTTTTAAAGGCCAGAATGGCCATATACAATCACCTTGTCTGACCTCCTGCATAACTGCTGGCCAGAGAACCTCACCCAGTAATTTTGCATGGGACTCATATGTCCTGGTAATGAGATTAGAGCTAGCTCACGGAGGAGCCATCTTAAAACATGCCCCACGTTGAGCATGTAAAATCCAGCATTGCCCAGGAGAGTAGGTGGTTAGCGGATTTGCAATAGGACCTAGATCCTTTCCTCCCTAGTCCAACAATTTCAGTCCAGCCCATCTTGGTAGTAACTGCCAAGTGATTACCGTCTGACAACTGTGGTCTCACCAGTGGGTCTCAGTCGAGTAAACCACTCCGTCAGCAGTCCCCGTGGTGGTACTCTGATCAGGCAAGCGAAGGGTCAAATGGACTGGAGTCTGATCACCAATAGAAGTGATCTGTGCCAGCCGTTGGTGAGACGATGTTATCTGCACTGGCAATGTGCATGCTGTACCGTTCCTGCATATGGAGAAGAGTGCCTTCCAGGTCTGTCAATCCGGTACCTTTCACCGGCACCAAATAAGGAAAATCCCTGTAGTATTGGGAGGGTCTGGACTTGCAGGTAATTGGCTGAATACTGGGCGTGCCAAAAGAAAACAGATCCACAAAGCTTTAAAGGTAACCCGGGGTGAAGGTTTCATGCATTAGTCAAGGAGTTTGGTAGTTCCATTGTTCCTACCTAGCTTAATTCACCGAACAATAGGTAAAGCCCGATTGTACTGTTTGCTTCATATCTGAGGAGATTTAAGTACTTCCCTTCATATGCAGCTCTACTGTAAAACCTTTGGCATGATTAAATCAGCATTGAAAATCTGTTGGTATAAATATGCCAGTAATCTTTTGATATACGAGCTGGCATAACTCTGCAGAGATCAGAACAATTTGGTTCTGAAGCAATTTTGAGTGAAGGCAGCCGGGTTGGGGTGGGGGGAATACGCCAAGATTATTGAATTCCTTAAATACAAGGATTCCTTCGTCTTAGTAGCTGAGGATAACCGTGTGTGATTTCCTGTGCTCTTGTGTGTTGTTCTCTTTTGAACTTCGATTTTCATGAAATGTTTCTAATCTCTGCTTTTTAATAACAACGGCGAGCACAGTTGAAAAAAGATGGTAATTAGTGCTTACATCCTGACTCACCAAAGCATTTAAGCACGTGTCTAACTTGGAAGTCGATGTGATTTAACCATGTGCTTAAAATATGAACAGAGACTAGGGAGACAGGAGTGAAAGCAATGCCATAGAGAGATCAGCTCCAGTGCTCCCGTGTAATGATAGTGTATACAATGTCCCTTTTTCATAGCTGAGCAAGAAAACCCTTTCCCTCTATAGGCTGTTGTTAGCCCCAGATGTTTCAGAGACAACCGTTGTGTGAATATGGTTTTGTGTTTATAGCTCTGAGCTGAGGGGAATCATCTGCCTAGCAATCTGGCCGAGTTATTAATTCAGAGCCAATTGCAGACAAACGGCTTATTATCAGTGACATTTGGATGGTGTCGCAGGAGAAAACGAACATGCGTTGAGTAAATGTCACTTGGCGTCGCTTCTGAGGGTATGTCTTCACTACCCACCGTATTGGCGGGTAGCAATCGATTTATCCGGGATCGACCTATCGCGATAAGACGCGATATATCGATCCCCGAACGCCCTCACCGTCGACTCCAGAACTCCACTAGAGCGAGCGGCGGTAGCGCAGTCGACGGGGGAGCTGCAGCCGTCGATCCCGTGCCGTGTGGACCCCAAGTAATTCGATCCAAAATACTTGGACTTCAGCTACGGTTGCGTATCTTGGGTCGATCCCCCCCAGTGTAAACCAGCCCTGAGACCGAATCAATTTGTCCAGCAGAACTGAGGGATGTCAAACATTTCCTCACAGAGGCATCTTAGGAAGTGCTATTGGTGTTTCTGGAGATAATTATTGATACCCACTGTTAATGTTGCAGGTGTTAAAAGTCTCAGTGATAACCCACCCAAGATTTTATATATTTATATATGTGAGGGCTGGTCTACACTAGGGGGGCAGATCGATCCAAGATATGCAACTTCAGCTACGCGAATAGCGTAGCTGAAGTCGAAGTATCTTGGATCGAATTACCTGGCGTCCACACGGCGTGGGATCGACGGCCGTGGCTCCCCGTCAACTCCGCTACCGCCTCTCGCTCAGGTGGAGTTCCAGAGTCGACGGTGAGCGCGTTTGGGGATTGATATATCGCGTCTTAACGAGACGCGATATATCGATCCCGGATAAATCGATTGCTACCCGCTGATACGGTGAGTAGTGAAGACGTACCCTGAGTGTGTCTATACGTGACTATATTAGTACTGCTTTCAGAGTGGGTATTCTTTGTGCGAATCATGTGTCTGAACTGTATTTTCTGTGTCGTATTAACAGACGGAGGCTGCAGCCACTGACATTTAGAATCGGGTATTCAGGTTCTGATTCTGAAAGTGCCAGCACACGGTAGATTCATTGGAGACCAATGGGCTCTACAGAGATGCAGTGGTCTGCGTGCGCACTGTCAGTTCCAGGATCGAAACCTTAGATCAGAAGCTCTTTAGGGCTGGGACTTGCCTTCTTCTGTGTGAGCATGATTTTTGTGTCGAGTTTCCATTTTCTTGGTGGAACAGTTGTGCCCAGAGTTGATGGCCCAGAAGAGGGTCCAAGTTTGTTAAATTGCAATTTATTACTGGGTTTTGTTTTTTTCAGTGACCTGGAATTGTTCTGATCTGAGTTTCAGGGCTTGGTTTGTCCCGTTAACTAACTAACTAACTTCTGTGCTGCAGGTCAGGGGCCACGTGAGCGAAAGCAGAATGACGATCCGTTATGCCATAGGGAAGAACACGACAGAAGGCATGACCCACATGATGTGTACTGAAGGGACAGAAGGTAAGCCTGCTCATAGATCAGACCTTTCCTTGCACCGTTATCGTGATTGTTTGTCTCATGAGACTGGCAGCTATGATGGATATGGCTGAAATCCTATTTCCCATCTTGTTTTAGGCTGTGAAAATCCAAAGCCTTGCCAGTCAGAGCTAAGCGTCCTTGAGCATGGTTCATACAGTGGTGACCCAGTAACTAAAGTGCTTCTACAGCCACTGACGGGTAAGTGCTGGAGGGCTGAGGCAACCCCAGCATGGCACTGTTTCTTATGTTAGGGGGAGCCAGGCCGTAGGGCCTTGAGTAGGGTGCAGAGCTTTTCTGCTGACTCACCCTGACAGTGGTGCTGGGTGGGTCTCATCAGCTAAAATATTGAGAGTCTCTCTGAGGCAAGAGATTTAGAGGGAAGGAGCAGGATGTCCTGCAGGGAGAAACCCCAGTCATCTGGCATTTGCAGTCCTGGGCCTTTTCTCCACTGTTGTGATTTGGTTGTGCACTGTGGACCAGAAGCATTTAGGGGCTAGGATGAAATGAAAGTCAAACTCATTGTCAGTCATGACCTAAATTGGGTCTTGAGCCCGGGTCTCCAAAAGTCAAAAAGTATGATGCATTCTCTCCCAACAGCACAGGCGTCAAGAGCCAGGGATTGAGTGTCAGTGTTTGAACTCTGTGCCCTTTACGCTTTTATTCCCATGTTCCATTTAGGCCGGACGCACCAGCTCCGGGTTCACTGCAGTGCTGCTGGACACCCCATAGTGGGAGACTTCACATACAGCTTTAAGAAGGACAGTAACCCATACAGAATGATGCTCCATGCTTACTACCTGCGGATCCCTACCAGGAAAGAACTGATTGAGGTGAGTGCTCCTGACCCCTTTCTGACCTCTCTGGATAGCAACTGGGTCCCTCACCATGTTGTGCACCGACTGGATGAGATGATCCAGGAACTGAAGGACAAGACTATCCGGGCAGAGGAAGAGGAGAGGAACCAGGAAGCATTGCTTAGTAGTGGAGGAGAGGAGATGCCGAGCAAAACCAAGACCCTGGAGAGAGAGGAAGAACGAACCAAGTGTGAGCAGTGGTTGGCGGAGTGGGCCTTGGCATGAGATGCTGCTGTTGCTGTTTCAAACCCAATATTCCATTTGCTCACTGTGGGACATGACAGACAACCCTCCCCTCCGCCCCTTCCCAGCCCAGGACCCAACGCCGCCTCCGCGTCAGCACTTTTTTATGCCGAGCTATCTTAGAATGAATCCTCCAAGGGTTCATTTCCGGGTCTGAAATTTGACTTATTTTAGCATCAAGTAGGATTTTTTTTTTTCATGAGTTAAGCTCCACCCCACCACTGGATGCACTTTTCCTTGTTCTGCAACTCCGCTATGGGATTTGAATGTCATGCACCACATCAGAAATGAGGCAGAAGCCCCAGTGGACTGCGCCTTTGTATTAGCGCTAAACTGCTGGGTGGGCATCAGCAGAGCTGATCCATTTATGACGCTCCTGCAGAGAATGATGGAGCTCCTTTCAAACCTGTAGTACTAAAACATTGCCAAGATACACTCAATTTAAAGGGAATCAATAATGGAGGAGAGAAGGTGGGGCCCTTAAGCCTTTCTGGGTGGAATCTTTGGGTCTGCTTTCACTTCCCCATTCCCGCCTACTGAGTGATCATGTCCACTCACTGAGTCCTATTAGCTATTGCTGTCTTCCAGTGCAGGGCATGAAGAAATATCATGCAGCATTTTGCATTGCTCCGACTGAAAGGATGAGAGTCATGCCAACCAGCCATGTGCTTTGCCAATAAATCCCAATGTGGGTAATCCCCAGTTAAACAGAGCTGCTGGGAGGGTCCTTTAATTGGAGTGCAGGACTCACTACCTTTCCCAAGTCTGCATTTAGACCATTTATATTTTTAAAAGGTTTTAAATTGATGACTACTAATGAATTTTAAACTTTCTAAGGAAATTTGACACGGGATACAGTCCTTTAGCAGTTCTGCAGTGCTGTCGGTCTCAGATGTAAAAAGAACAGGAGTACTTGTGGCACCTTAGAGACTAACAAATTTATTAGAGCATAAGCTTTCGTGGACTACAGCCCACTTCTTCGGATGCATATATTTGTAACATCACACTTCTAGTACATTGGCACCAGTAGCAGATTAAAAATATCTAACACCCCAAAACTTTTTCCTACAGGTGGTGAGATTTTATTACACCCTTTACTTATATGCTCCTTTTCTAAGAGCCTGCTCTTGCCTGGAGATGCACATGGCACTCCTGCTATCACTAAAAATGGGCATTCCAGGCAATTCTCAGCAGGAGAACACAACTCTAAATAAATTCATGAGAATCACCTTGTTCTCCTAATGCCTGTGACAGGGCACTGCCTGGCTTTCACCAGTAGGTGGTGCCATAGGCAGTCTCAGGCATCACAGACCATTTGTTTAAATTGTCTTAGGACTTCAGCAGTGAGACTAGAGGAAAAACACACACAACTAAAGGAATGTTAAAGGGCTGGTGCACACAAACCATCGCAAGGAAGGCTGGGACTCAGTGTCCCTGTTTTAGGAGAGTCAGGAGTTGAAGGGAAGCCTTAAACGAGAATTTCCTTGCTTTGCAAATCTCATTCAAACCTTCATTGTTGCTGTACTTGCCATTTTTGTGTTTTAATTTTCTCCTTCGGCTTTTAACGGTAGTTTTAAAATAATGGAATAAAACTGTAATGGAATTCTGTGAGACAGTCATAGATTATTGGGACAATAAACCATGATAGCCCATTCAGATCTATTGTGACCTGTGTATCTTAGCTATTTATATCACACCAGTCACCTTAGTATCTAAGCACTGAGCTGTCATATCAGTGCATGCCTTTAGGGTCCCTTAATCCCCAGCCTATTGTGCATCTGACAGTGCACACTGTTTCAGTGTTGTTATAGCCATGCCGATCCTAGGATATTAGAGAGGCAAAGGGGGTGAGGGAATATCTTTTATTGGACCAACTTCCAAAAGAGACAAGCTTTTGAGCTTCTACAGAGCTTTTCTCAAGGTCAGAGTAAAAGATATTACCTCAGCCACCTTGTCTGTTCCCCCAGATGACAAATATATCTACTGGGAGATGAAAAGAACTTCGCCGCTCTCCCCGGAACATGGAAACATAAACATTCTGCAGGGTCACTTAAATCATACTTGGGTTTTGCCCCTCAGAATGGGTCTCGTCACCTATTTCCATGGACGCCATTTGCTACGTCCTCAGTACAGTCTCAGCTGCCAATGTAATGCACGGAGGCTCGCTTGTTTCTGGCACTGTAGCTGGTATGTTCTCCTTCTGGAGCATGTGTGACTCACCCATCGGAAGGAGGGTTTGTGTCTTATAGAATTACCTCTCGTTGCACCAGTGGATGCATGTATGTGTCTGCAGCTTCCAGAAACTATGGAATTGCCATGAAATGGGTCTTTGAGATAACAGTTCATCATCAGAGCTTTTGATGCATGATTAGGAGAATCTTCCTGTTTGGCACTTTATTGCTTGATGTTTTGTGCGTGTGTCGCAGGCAGTTAGGGCCAGATAATACCTGGTGGGTCATTATTTTTCATGGTTCTTCCCAACACTATTCCCACTCATATCCGTAGCAGTGATCAGCTGGTCGATGAATGTGAATTGACCCTGAGGGACATTCATTAGGAGCAAAGCGTTCAGCAAATTTTAGTAGCTACAGGAAGCAGAGACTCTAGCTTGGTTTGCTTTAGTATCTGAACCTCCCCATTGAGTATCCTAGTTCAGCTGCTGGTATTTTGCCAGGCAGACAGAGCCTCATCCAGTAGAGAACATATCTCTTGCTCCAGAGACTGCTGGAGATTGTGTTAGTCAAAAGACGTGACATGCATCAGTTGGCTGAAGCATGATCGTAGGAGTCACGATCTTGAGAAGCAATTCACGGAATAGCATTAGCATTGGCTAAGGGCAGTCCTGCTTATCAGTATTACTGGCTGGAGGTTACATACTGTTGCTATGCAGGCTAATGTTAGCTGCCCGTTTGGAGGTGGACAGAATATTTGTGGAAGTAGAGGATCAGGGATGAGAAGTTCTGTGGACAAAACCTCTAAGACTCTTATCAGTGATGTCTGCACCAAAGGTCCCAGTCTCACCTACCTTTGGTCACACATACGCACAGTGATGGGGGAAGTGTGGGGAGTGGAGCTTGTTGCGAAGTAGCCTGATGAGATTCCTTCAGCTCTAAGCCAATGATGAGCACCAGTATACTGAGTAAGTGACTTCCCTGATCAGTGTGGGAAGGTGAAATTCACTGTGGTGGAAAGATCACACACAAAGTCCTGGGCAACACTTTATGCTCTTAACACAAGGCCTGGTGCAGGGCACGTACGCTGGGGTGAATTTTTTTATTATTATTATTATTATTACCCTGTAAGAGATTTAGAAAGTGTCTTCCAGCTGAGATATGCTCAGCATAGATCCTACCAGCTCAGCATCAGTGGGTGTGGCGTGAGCCATTTGGCTCACGTTGGAGCGTGGCTGCCTGTTGGCCATGAAGATCTCAATTTGTCTTCGCTGTGATGACCCAGAACTCACGCTCTCCCACACACATACACGCAAAGAGGAAATTAAGCCATTGTACAGGCAACCTCACTGGTTAGGTGAGCGCACCCTAGTGTTTGTTCACTGGTTGACGGACGAAACTTGTCCCAAATGTTTAAAGTCTTGAAAACATTCCATCCAGGACCCTGTGGACCAAGTGTTGGTGCAAAGACCACAGCATCCCCTGTCTGCTCTGCATGCCCGAGAGGGTTTAGACTTCATGTATTGCACTTTTATCCAATGTTGCAGGAATCAGAGATGAATATTTTTTTCCTGAAATTTTATGAATTGTTGATGGAGAAATATATTTTGCAGTAATGCTTTCACACTGCTTCCACCCTGGAACCCTGTTGTACAGTGTTTGCTGTTCGTGTTTATCATGTGGTAGAGATTTGACGGTTACTTCCCTGGGGTAATTTGCTAGGAGCCTTAAGTTGATCTATTTATATATTTATAATGTGGTGTGGGTAGTTTTTGTGGGAGTATTTTGTGACATTTTGTAAACCTCAGGCGAATCCTTGTTTATTGTTAATGCATTTGTGGACATTCCTGTAATAAACCACTAAGTGTGCACCGTGTTTGTACCAATGGCCTGTTTAATTCACACAAACAGGGTGTTGCATGAAAAGGATGCTGCCATATAAAAATAAATAAATAGCCAGTGTCCTTAGCCCTTAAATTAAGGCAAAGCTTTCTGCACTGCTCCTCCCGATATCCTGATGAGGAATTATCTCCATTCTACAAATGCTACTAGACAAGTTTCCTTTTCTTTGCTAAAGGAACAGACTCTATGGAACACCAAGAGGGTCCCGTGGGTAGGTTCAATTCCATGCTCCCCCACTGGTTGCCTGTGTGAACCTGGGACAAGTCATGTTGTCGCTCTGTGACTCAGTTCCCCACCTGAGTAATAGTAGCAGTACTACCCTTCCTTACAGGGGAGTTGTGAGGAGGCATTCATTAAAATTGGGAGGCCTCCAGTGATGAAGGTCAGATAAGGACCTTAGGGAGATAAACCATTCCCTCCATGGTGATCTTGGAGGGAAAAGTAAGAATGAAGCATAGTTTAAAGGGGTGCTTTGTTCATTGCAGCCCAGTTACGTCTCCATAATCTTCCCTAAAAAAACAACAAGGAGTCCGGTGGCACCTTAAAGACTAACAGATTTATTTGGGCATAAGCTTTCGTGGGTTAAAAACGAAAGCTTATGCTCAAATAATCTGTTAGTCTTTAAGGTGCCACCGGACTCCTTGTTGTTTTTGTGGATACAGTCTAACACGGCTACCCCTTGATACTTGATAATCTTCCCTAGTTATTCTCTTACCTGTATTCATGGCCTAAATCCGACCCTCCTCCCACATCCCCTCCACACACACACACACACACACACACACTAGCTGAAACCAGATACCTCCATATCATGTACACAGAGCGAGACTTTTGACCGTCTTTGTGATTTGCCTAACCCAGTCACCTAGACTCAGGCCAGCGACAGGCGGGGAAGGAACATGCTCTCCCCAACATGCTCTTGAGGTTCATGGGTTCTTTGGAGGTGGAGCTGGAGGGTGAGTCTAGCCCATCAAACTTCATGTTCTCCTTGTTCAGACACGAGCTCGGATGAGTCACCATGCATCCGTGCATCTAGGATGCTATTTCCATGCGTCAGAGCAGAGCGTCGGCCCCTTGCTCTGAGTGAGGGGGCAGCAGGAATGTTCTCGGTCTGCACACACACACACACACACCCATTGCATTGCATTGCATTGCCCAGGCCGCTCCTAACACTCAGAATGCCCGAAATGTGACCTCAGCAATCCAAGCCCGACCTTGTCATCCTCCTTGCAACAGCAGGTCCCTCCTAGTTCTCTGGCCCTCTCCACACAGGAGCTTGGCCTGCATTTGCTTGAACCAATCTAGAACTGGTTTGGCTTTGAAATTTCCAAAGGACGTTTGATCCCGTCTACACTGATCCCGTCTACACTGAGCAGCCGAAGCACGTTCAAACCAAGGTTCCTTTGAGTGGTTTAGAAGCTGGTTTTGAAACCAGTGGGGTTACAATAGTAAGTGACAGGAGATTCACACACGCACCCCCAGCAAGTCCTTGATTAAACCCCGTGCAACCGGCTGCAGGGCCGTGTGCAGCCTCGTGACCGTGGAAGGCAGAGCAATTGTTTGCAGTATCAAGGAAGGCCAGACAAGCCAGGAGGGCCTTTAAGGAGGAATGAGGAATGAGCACATACTGGCCAGGCTGGAATATCTTGAGTCTCCCAACTGCTCACGCCAACCCGGCAAACCTGCTATGAAAACACAGGCTTTAGTTCAGATCAGTCACTCAAGGGAAATCCCACCAATAGCAGCTGCCGGTGCTAAGCTTTTGAAGGCCCTTTCTGGTCAGCAGCGACTGGAGTGCGGAAGATGGACAAATGGGCTTCATCGGTAAAGAGCTTTTAGCAAATTGCGATGAGAAAAAGCCAGGCCAGGCACTCAGGGAGGTGAAAAATGGCCCAAAGCATTTAACGAGACGATCCCAGTGCATTGCTTTCCCACCACCCCACCCGACGGGAAGCACTGGGTGCCAAGATGCCAACTGTGATTTTTGGTTTCTTTGACGGATTTACATTGTACCTCATGCTCACAGTACCGTTCAGGCCCTTAATACCTAGAGCCCTGCAAATCTGCCGATATCCGTGGGTCGGGAACGGATTCAGGTTCAAATTTTGTATACGCGCAGGGCTCTATTAATGCCCCCCAGTCACTAGATGATGATCGAATCTCCCATCCGCATCTGCCTTTAAAAAACTGCTCTTTTTTTTAATTGAGAAGGGGGGGTAGGGCTTGGGAGTGGATCATTCTTCAGAGCTAATCAGTCCTGGGCCTCTTTGCTGATTCCCTCAGCATGGGGGACAAATGACAATGGGGCTTTTAGTAACCTGGCAACATGTCCCTTGGAAATTGGACTGAGACTTCCCCAGCTTGTTTCACGCAGGCTGCCGAAGGACACTCAGATGGTAGCAGGGTGTTATAAACAGCTTGCAGCCATGTTTGGGGGTGGAACCATTCCTTTGGTGGCCATGTGTGGAACTTTCCACTAGTTGGTTTCATAGAATCCTTACCTTATAGACCATATATTATCGGTGGAGGGGTTGGTGAAATTTTTCACAGGGAAGCGAAAGAACAAGAGGTTCCTTTTGATGCAATATTTCAACAAGAAATGTGACTGTGAATTCCAGGAGGAGGAGAAGGTGTTTGTCTCCCTAGACTCAGAGCGTAGGCCTGGGAGCCCAGAACTCCTGAGTCCTATGCTTAGAGATGCCACTGCCTAGGTTTCTGAATACTTTGCACGTACACAGCATTTTATAACACTATTGAGTTAAGCCTCACAACGCTTCTGTGAAGCTGTCAAATAGTAGCCCTCCATTTTACCGATGGGGAAACTGAGTCTCGGAGGAAATAAGTGATACACTAGCAGGTCAATGTCAGAACCGGGATTAGAACCCAGAGCAAGAGATGAAATTGGACGCATCAGTTGTCCTCTCTGAGTTATTTGCTCAGCTCTGCCTACAGGGGCCATTCCCGTCTCAAAAGTCTGCAATTCAACCCTTTCTCGCCCCTGCCTTTCCCAGGCAGGAATAGCCCATAGCTCTAAACCCAACAGGCCAAATGCCCTTCTGGGGTAACTCTGCTGAGGTCAATGGAGTTACAGCAGTGCAGAAATTGGCCCTTATTTAGTAACCTGCCGCACAGGTGGCACGCGCTGTCTTGGGGCATCTCCGAAGAGTCTGCTTGGCCCACATCTTGATAGGTACCTACCGCCGGTGCAGCTGTTTGGAAGCTTACCTCCGGATTTGTTACATATGCAGCCACCAGACTCTGCCTCAGTGACTAGCACTCTGTTCATTCACCTCACCTGGAGGATGATGCCTCGTTCACTAATAACCTTTAATATTATTACTGTAAAAAACGGACTTCACTGTAGGCAGAATGGTCCCACGGACAATACCAGCATTTTATTATTCTCCTGAGCCAAATGAGACCGAGGTCACTTTGGATTTAAACATACTAACCATCTGTTGGGGGCACAGACGTGGTGATTGGCACACTGGACATGCCATCGGTAGCTAGATAGAGAGGTGAGAGATTTGTTTTACTTGTGCTCAGCTAGTTCAGGGAGGAAATTGCGGAGAGGGATGTTATTCATAATACCCTTTTTCACATGTAATGCTTTTGGTACATCACAGGTTCTTTATTCAGGGGGAAGTGGCCCTAAGGAGTGTAGTTTCCTGGGTTTCATTCATATTGCTCAGGGTTCATGCAGGTTTCACAGACCCCTTTGTGATGGAAGTCTTGATTAGGTATCTTCTAACAGATTATCTATAAGAGCAGGAGAAGCAGCTGGGATAAAATAGGACCCGGTCCCAGAACCTTTCCCTACAATCCAAACCCAATCTCTTTGAGGGTTTGATTACATTTTCTATTCCCCCTGCCCCGACCCCTTACTTTCCATTTTCACCCTCCATTTGCTTTTCCCCATTTCCATACAGAAAGGGCACTCATCTTTAGAAGGGTCTTCAGCATTTGGCCGACGGTGCACATGGCAGTGTGAGGGGGTCCTTGTTAAGACTGCTGTGTTTATGCTGACTGATGTCTACTCAATATCATGCACACTTTAAGCCCCTGCCTGCCGTGTGAGCAATGAGCTGTCAAGCTCCCCGTGCTGTGTTCTCGTTCCCAATATTAGACCTGACCTCAGGTTGCAAGCCTTAGGCGGTCGAAGGCCTTTTCCTGTAGATAATATCACATCGAACAGGTTTCTGTAGCCTAATCATTCTGCCAGGCAGCTATCTTTGCAGGAGATCATTCTAAAATAGAAACCAGAAACGTAAATGCCGGTATTGACTAACATGCTGCTTCAGGGGAACCAGTTGGGCAGGTTTGATGTCCCTTGCCTGGGAGTCATTCAGCATATAGACAAGAAGCTAAACAATGAGAGCAGCACCCTCTGGCTTAACGGGGCGGTGCTAGGAATTTTACCTTGGAGGCACAGATCACAGAATCATAGAACCATAGGACTGGAAGGGACCTCGAGAGGTCATCTAGTCCAATCCCCCGCACTCATGGTAGGACTAAGTATTACGTAGACTATCCCTGATAGGTGTTTGGCTAACCTGCTCTTAAAAATCTCCAGTAATGGAGATTCCACAACCTCCCTGGGCAATTTATTCCAGTGATTAACCACCCTGACAGGAAGTTTTTCCTAATGTCCAACCTAAACTGCCCTTGCTGCAATTTAAGCCCATTGCTTCTTATCCTATCCTCAGAGGTTAAAGAGAATAATTTTTTCTCCTTCCTCCTTGTGACAACCTGTTATGTACTGGAAAACTGTTCTCATGTCCCCTCTCAGTCGTCTCTTCTACAGATTGAACAAACCCAATTTTTTCAATCTTCCCTCATAGGTCATGTTTTCTAGACCTTTAATCATTTTTGTTGCCCTTCTCTGGACTTTCTCCAGTTTGTCCACATCTTTCCTGAAATGTGGCGCACAGAACTGGACACAATACTTCAGCTGAGGCCAAACCAGCATGGAGTAGAGCAGAAGAATTACTTCTGTCTTGCTTACAACACTCCTGCTAATACATCCCAGAATGATGTTCGCTTTTTTTTGCAGAAGCGTTACACTGTTGACTCATATTTAGCTTATGGTCCATTATGACCCCCAGATCCCTTTCCCCAGTACTCCTTCCTAGGCAGTCATTTCCCATTTTGTATGTGTGCAACTGATTGTTCCTTCCTAAATGGAGTACTTTGCATTTGTCCTTATCCTGGTCTCTGCTAGGAGCTGTCTGGTAATGAGAGAAGGAGAGCTGAAATAATAACCTGCTCATCCTTTCCAGTAACAGGGCGGAAAAGAAGAAATCAGACCTCCTTAGCCTCAATAAAGACCAGGCCCGTTGACCCACTGGAGAATATTGTAGTGTCTGTGTTTCTCAAATGCGGCCACCAGGGACTTTTCTTGCAGCCACTGCCTCATGGGTAGTGATTGGGGGTGGGATAGGGGAGGCAAAGCAGCAGTCCTTCCTCTGGGGTCACCAGCAGGGGTTGATCCCTGCCCCTTTCTGGAGCCACAAACACTGTAGTTGCAGGTGACCAGTGTGAGTTCCCCACCAGCCCTGGGGTGGTGGGCGGCAGGCTCTGGCCATGTGGTGGCAGGCTCCATCCCACAGCCGCAGGGCTTCAGGCTCTGGCCCCAGACTCACCCCCTCCATTGCCCCGACCCCTGCTGCCTCCTCCACCTCCCCCAATCGTGTCCCCCATTGCCCCTGGCCCTCCTGCCTCTTTACCCTTTTAATTCTATTTGCAAATAGAGCGGGAATTATGGGACCCGATCCTCAGGACTTCAGCAGAGCTACACCACCTTCCACCAGCAGAGGAGGTGACCCCTCGTGCCCACAAACTGTTCACAAAGGGTGATGCCACCAGAAACAACACAGGAGGATATTGTGATTCACTCATCTGTTCTCTATGGCTAAAAGTAGCCAGAGGCACCTCACAACTGTGAGTCCCCCCTCCCACACACACACTTTTCTTCACTTTCCAGGATTTACATTAATGCAAAAACTGATTAAAATCAGGAGAAGGCTGCCAAACTCAATGGCTAGGAAGAGTCATTATTATTACTTTCTTATTCATCATTGTTAGTACTGCTGGGCTAAGCTCATTGTCTTCGGTGGGAGTATTGCCTGAGTAAACATTAAGGACAAAATGAAGGTTAAGGGGTGACTTGTTTAAAATCTATAACTACCTACATGGGGAACAAATATTTAATAATGGGCTCTTCCGTCTAGCAGAGAAAGGTATAACATGATCCAATGGCTGGAAGTTAAATCTAGACAAATTCAGACTGGACAGAAGGCGTACATTTTTAACAGTGAGAATAATTAATCACAGGAACAATTTACCAAGGGGCATGGTGGATTCTCCATCACTGACAATTTTTAAATCCAGATTGGATGTGTTTCTGAAAGATCTGCTCTAGGAATTATTTGGGGGAAGTTTTATGGCTTGTGTCATACAGCAAATTAGATTAGTAGATGATCCCAGTGGTACCTCCTGGCCTTGGAATCTATGAATCTATGACCCCTCTGGGTCTGGCTCATTATTGTAATTATCATTGTTCTATTTTATTAATAGGTTGTTTTACTGAGACATAGTCTCCATCAGGCTGCAGTCCAGAATTAATTTTCCTCTTTCACAGGATGAATTTGCAGCTGGACCTGCCAGGAACACAGACTCCCAAGGGACTCTGATTCAAACAAACCCTGGGGGCATGGGATGAGTGAAGGATTGGCATTCTTCCCTTCCACACCCCTGCCCCACCTTCTTGTATTTCAGCTGTAAGCCCCCTTTTTTTGTATCCGGTGGAGGATGGGCCAGTTCATTCCAATAGTCTGGCCATGGGAGAGGCTCATCTCTCCCCCACCCTCCCCCAGCGCAACCATTTTCTACTTATAATCATTTGTTGTCTGTAACACCTCCTGAAAAGGAGACCCCACAGGGACTCACTGGTAACAAAGGGCGATGGCTCCGGATGCCTTAGCAAGGGGTAGGGATTCTGTATTTGTCCTGTCCCAACACTTTGCTTCCAGCCAGTTTTTAGCTTTACAAGCCATCACCTTTTTATGGGCCTTTTAAATTGCTCCCACACTTTCACCTTGACATGCAAATCAGGTAATTGTATGTCTAACGAGCAGATCTTTGTAAGCAGAGGCAGGTTTTGAGCATGCGGACGGAGCGTGCACAGACTGAGAGGCCTAGCTGAAAATGTGTCCCTTTTTCTTTAACACAGTGACTCCAGTCTAGGGTGACCAGATGTCCTGATTTTATAGGGACAGTCCCAATATTTGGGGCTTTTTTTTATATGGGCTCCTATTACCCCCCACCCCGTCCTGATTTTTCACATTTGCTATCTGGTCACCCTACTCCAGTCTAAGTGAGCTAATAATCCAAATCAGAGATTGTGGGACACTGGTGGAGTAACTGTGTATGCACACCAATGTAAATGACCTTGGAATCCAGCCTGGGTTGCCAGGCCAGGGAACAATATCCAATATGTAGTCTACTCCAGAATTGGGGTAGGAACTCTCTGTGAACAGACTATGAGAATGGAGAGTATATGCTGCCTGCAATCTGGAAAGCAGGTAGAAAGAAAGAAAAACTCACTGAGAGCTCTTTAGGTCTCTTAAGCAGTGCACTACAATGCAATGCTATCCAATCCAATCCAATGCAGTACCACACCACAGCTCTGTCTGCAATATATAAACTGTATCTCTAACACAGTTTAAAGAGTTTCCACTGACTTCAAGGAAAGTTTTCACTTAGTAGGAAAAGCAGGACTGGGCCCTTTATCACCTGTTGAAATGTTTCATGAAGGAACTAGTTCACTCTCAAGGAAGTTCAAACTAACAGTTTTTTTTAAAGTATCTTTTTCAAAGCACCATTTGAGAAACTGACTTGTCACACCCCCTGCTTGAGAGCAACATCCCCCACCCTGGAGTGATAAGACCGGGACAGACCTGTTCCTTAACATTACTCATCCCAGGGACACCAGACCCTAGCAGAAGCCGGATTTTCAGCTCTCCTGGTAACAGGTGGGTGAACATCTTTATTTGGGTTAAAGAAATTTCACTCTAATAAAAGCAGGAGAAAACAAATTGCCCAGAGTGGAGCAATGATGAAAATGAAACAATATTAACTTTCTAGCCAATAGTACCATGGAGTAGTTAGACTGTAATGAGATTTAGCTGAAAGTTTACTAACATGGCTTGTTTCAGAGGGGTAGCAATGAAATAATTATGCTGTGGAAAATGTGAACAACCTACTGATCGGATCTCTAGCTTTTTATTTTCTACTCGCTATTTCTTGTTGATCTGATTGCTCTCTGTCTCTAGCCGGGGTAAGGAGGAGATGTGACACCTAAGTGGTCTCACACTGGTTTTATACAGATATAATTGTATGGAATATAATGGCGTTACTCTTGATCTGTCATTTAGATTCAGAGCCAGTGGTACCTAAGAATATGTGGTACCCTTATAAATATCCAAATCAGAGTACCGATAAATATTTCTGTTTAGTACATGAGGAATGCTAATTAGAGAGGATGAGCAGGGTTCTGCGCTCAGGTGCATTGCCCGGTGATTGCTAGCAGAATCTGTCCCATTACTTCTAAAGCGGAAAAACGGGAAATCCATAGGTGCTGGAATTAGGGGTGCTGCACCCCCTGGCTTGAAGTGGTTTCCATCATATCCAGGGTTTACTGTTTGGTTCAATGGCTCTCAGCACCCCCACTGTACACATTGTTCCAGCGCCCCTGGGGAAATCACACCTTTGACACAGTTCTGCATTTGCAATGTTAATTTTTATTCAGATGACTGATTATCTGACAAAGAAAATACGCTGCACAAATTCCCGTGTGAATTCCAGGGACAAGACACTGAGTCTTCTTGTGTGTTAGGAAAACAGGGAGGGCCAGAGATTTAGCTGGTCTAAACTGGCACAGGTCCACTGAGTTCAGTGGAGCATCCGCCTTGGGATCTCTTTAGCGAGGTTCATAGTGTAACTGTTGAAAACAACCCCAGGTGCTTAACCTGTTTGTGGGGTTTGGCTGGAATTCTTGGGCTTTCTCGCTGTGTGCTAAACGCAGAATGACTTTTTGGGGGCCAAGACAAACACCTGTGGTGTGGTTTGGAAAGCTCTGAAAGGCACCGGCTCCTGCAGCTGAGTGAGTGGGCAGGAATGCATGAACTCCACTGAAAGGCGATATAATCCTATCCCGTCTCACAGACTGCCCTTTAACAAGCCAGAGAGTCCTTCTGAGCCTCTTCAGTGGGACCAGTGAGACAGGTGCAGGAGTGTCTAAGGGCATGGAAAAACGCTGCTCTAAGGAGAGATTGAAAAGACCTGGATTGTTTACCTGAGAAGGGAGACATGTAAGAGGTGACATGATGAAAGTATATACGATAACGAATGGTTCAGGATGGTTGGGAGCTTCTGTTCTCCCTGGCTCATAATACACAAGAGCAAGGGTCACATTCAAAACTGTTAAAAGGAAATGCTTTTTCACACAGCTTGTAAGTAGACTGTGGAACTCACTGCCACAGGAAGTCACTGAAGCCAAAACTTAGCATGATTCCAAGAGGGATTGACATTGATATGGATAACAAGACTATCTAGAGTTAGAAGCAATAATGCTATTATTAATTATTATTATTATTCTTTTTGGAAGGGATATGAAACCTCAGGTAGCATTCTACCATGTGCACACGGACTGGCTTCCTGGTGCCTCCTCAAACTTCTCCCCTCCTGCAACCTGTGTTCCTCTCTCCAAGTTCCATGCAGGTTGCTAGATCTTTGCTTTTAAAGAATTGATGTTGTTGTGTCTTTTGTGTTTGCTGACTTGCTGGAACTAGAGGTTACTAGTACGTATCCCATCCTAGGGACATGGTCTGGACTGCCACTCTATTGCAGTCTCCTAGCGCTCAGTCTTTCAAGTGTGTTGATCTTCGAACCAGTCTCCCACTTCTTGATTGCATTATCGCTGGGGGGGGTAGGGGGACTTGCGTCAACACTGTTGCTGCCTGTTCTATTTGGTGGCAGCCTGTTGGTCCCCTGTATTGCTCATGTACCTAGTTGCTTCTGACTCCCCTACTCAGGCCAGCTTTATGGCTGAGGTTCTTTCTTTGTCCTCCTTGTCCTGGCCTTGACCCTGTCTGTGTGTCAACTACTATGATCTCCCAAGCAACAGTGTCTCTGTTTTTGTGGGTTTCTTATTAACAGCCTGCATTTGCCCACTGTCCTCAGAATGATTTTTATTGTACAACAGCAGCACCTGGTCACATTTCTACAGTCTAATATTGCTGCTTATCCATGTTGCTGGGATTACATTACAGAGGGCTCTGATATCCGGTTGGAATCAAATTAGTGATTGATCGAATAACCTGGCTGTGAACATGGCATTTGAATGGCTGGCAGCCTTCTGCAGTGCATGCACATTGATAATAGTCTTTGGAACTGCTAAAGTCACACTGCAGATATGCTCCTCTTCACTGGATGTCTTTACATCCTCATTCACTGCATGTACTGCTGCCCTTATCTTCCGGGGGTAGCTGCAGTGCAAAGTGGGTCTGTTTCCCAGCCTGTTACACCGTTGCCCATAGGCTGGGCATTTTTCTTTCTGCCCTTCATGTTGCTTTCCACAGTGTATACGCTGGACCCTGATGCCTGCGTTCTTGGTGAGTCTGTCTCTGTCCGGCTTTCTGAGTTCCGTTAGCTTGAGCCCGTGTACTTGTTCTGCACTAGTGGTCATCGTTTTGATCCTTTCCCGCCTAGGCAGTTCAGGTGCTCTTGCTATTTGGAGGCATTTCTCTAGGGTTAGATCTAATTGTCTCAACAATCTGTCTGTCTGTCAACAGAGTGTGGGGAAGTCAGGGCCCTGCACCCCCAATTCCTGCGATTCACTGTGACTCTCAGCCAGCCAGTAAAATGGAAGGTTTATTAGCCGACAGGAACACAGCCCCAAACAGAGCTTGTAGGTACAACCAGGACCCCTCAATCAGGTCCCCAGCGGGGTAAGAGCTTATCCCTCAGTTTTGGGGCTCCCTCCGCTTCCCCAGCCAGCTCTAAACCGAAACCCCTCCAGCAGTCTCCAGCAGCCACCGCCCTTGGCTCCTCCCCCCGCCTTTGTCCAATTTCCCCGGGCAAAAGGTGTCACCTGGTCCCAACCCCCCCCTCCTGGGGTCAGGTTACATGCTCAGGTATTGTCACCCTGGTATCCCATCACCAATGCAGACAATCTCAATAAAACTCCCACACAACATTCCCAGGTCAATCCGCTCCGCTCCCTACTCCGTCACACTGTCCCATAAGCTGGAATCACAGGTCCCACAAATGATCCTGTCTCAGGTTAGGGAATCTTTTAAGGCTCCAAAGTTACATGTGGATGCCGGAGTTCTCAGCTCTGTGATGGAAGTATCTATTGTCTCTTCTGCTTCTTGGTTTCGGGTAAAGAAACAGTATCTCTCTACAGTCTCATTCTGTTCCGTACTCATCAGACACTTTTATCAGCTGTTTCAGTGTTTCAGGTATTATTCCTCGCAACAGGGTCTCACTCCTCACTTCTCATCTTTTCTCCCCAGTGACATTGTCAAAAAGTTTTACTTCCGTTTTTTTGTCTTTCTCCCCCACTGTCAGATATGTATCCAGATCCAATTCTTGCTTCCCCTGCATCCACGCATGCACAAGCTTTTGCCTGGAAATCCAGCATTCCTGGTGTTCTACATCTCCCCATGCTGCCTGTTTGCTCTATTTCTAGGTGTCGCTTTGTCTTCCTGTTAATTACACCCTCTTCCTTGCTGTAGGTCTCTCTAGCCTGCTCCCACCATGTTTCATCGACCATGTCCTGAGGTAATTACCTGAGAGACTCCACATTTCTAAACTAAACTATGCACAAATGATCACATTTGCAATGGGAAGGTCATCAACTTCACTCAAAAAACAATCCCATTTTTGCCTGCAATAGACCCACTTTGCCTTGAAAAATCTCCACATTGTCTGAATTCCTACAAAATGTGAAAACCTTTGATTTCAAGTTATTTTGCATTTTGTTACCAACATTCCACACCCTCCCAGCTTTGTGTGAACCTGGGCAGATTTATGGCTTGGGTAGAACACAGGAAAGACTCGAGTTCAGCTGAGTGGTCCTTTGAGTTCTGGCACTTGTCTGAAGCCCAGATTCAAATCAGGGGCCGTGAAGCCCTGAAATCAATGATTGTGCCCTGCTTCCTTTCTCTCAGATATATCAATTAGCTTTACCTCGTTATTGTCAGTTACTTTAGGGGTCATGCCACTGACTGCACAGACTCATTATTCCAGCCTCTTTCTGCCTCCAAGGGCTGGATCCAATTCTGAATGACGTCTCTAGAAAGACCCTTTAGGATCAGGCCCTAAACAGGGGGATCAAACACATCTTGCTTATTATGCCTGGTAAATAGCAGAAAGGATCTTTCTCAAGGATCCTCTCTGAGCATGGGGCACTGAACAGCAGCCAGGCCAGATATACTGTCATCTGATGCTATTGGAATGTCCCCCTTTAGCACATTAATATTGTCCAGGCTGTCACACCAATGAAGGCCTGGGAAGACACCAGCCTCCGTCTCTCCTCCCTACAGCACCAAAAGCTTGACACAGTGTTCACTCTGCCTTGCCTTTCATGTGAAAGGCGCGCTGGTTTTCTTTATGGTAGGTCGGACTCACTGAGTGGAGAGAATGGGTCTGATTCTGCACTCATACAGCACTGTGGCTCCACTGGTTTCAGTGGAGTTCCTCCTGGTACACTGGTGCTGAAGCTGGGTGCTTGTTACTCCCTTCCTGGAGGTGGGTGGCCCCACTTCCCACTCCAACATGCCAGCCAGCAGCATTGAGTCAATGCAGGGAATGGGGTGGGGATATGTAGCTGGGATAGGCCAGTTGCAAATTATCACTGCCTAGAGCAAGGGGAAAGCAAGACGTGAACTGTGGCTGCTGGAGACCCAATTTCTTAGTTGGAGATTCTCCTAGGGCAGCACAACAATGCACCACCTAACTACAGGCTGGGTCCTTGTGCGACAATCTAATGGTGTGATTGATTGCTGGTGGCAGGTTTGTTCTAAGGCACTAAAGTGTCTGGGATATCATCAGCTCCCTTGTAAGATGAATTACTTTTATGTAAAGCAAACTGATTTGGGTCTTGGTTTTGCACATATTCCCTGGCTAAGGTATGGGACACAAATCAGTTGTCAGTAGTGTTGCTAGTTTACATGAATGGTGCATTCATCCCATGGGAATTAACCTGACATAGAGAGCTTCAGTGTGATAGAAGCTTATTCAATACGTGCTCTGTGTATATTCTGTTTTCCAGACCTAACTTGAGAACAAAGACATTTCACAGCCAAGATGAGCTGCATTTCCTACATATTGGCTTTTGCCCTTTGCCTGGGTGAGTTTACTTGTTTTTTCAATGTATAATCAGTGCATCCATTCGCTAGAGCAGGCTCTCAAACATGGATTTAAATAGTATGTCTTCTGCTTTATTCCACACAGCCTTATGTGACAATGGCTTTTAATTTACAAGTCCACATTGCTCCCAAGTTCACTGAAACTGTCAAAGAGTTCTAGCTAAGGGTTTGATCCAATACCCTAGTGAAGTCCAGGGGCATCTTTCCATTGACTAAATGGGCACTGGATAGGAAATTTATTGCACTATTCCCACTCTTCCAGAGGGGAGTATACTCATCCTGGTCCTAGATGCACTCGTCTCACTCTCTTTTCAGCTGGCCGACACACAATCAATGGATGGGTTCAATTATTTGAGTCCTGCTTCCTTGAAAGTGACTATAGCATTCTAGTCTGCTGCATTTTTAGAATACGCTCTTTTGATCCTTCAAATTGTATTTGCCTGAGTATAGTAACTGTATTAGCTTATCAAAATGACATCAACAAGGAGGTGAAGAAAAGACTCCTTGTCACAGACTATAAATTAAGGGATGCTTTACAAGACTCCTCTGATCGTTTTAGAATTTGTATTTGATCTTGTTTAAATAACGAGGGGCTATTTTTAACATTATTCCAATTTGCTGCAGGATTTTCAATGGACCCAGTGGAAGCTGCATCAGTAAGTTGTTTTGCCATCTTCTTAAATATCATCCAGACACTAATACAGCTCCTCAGGAATGCTAACAATGAGGTATTTCAGGTAGCTCAGGAAATCCTACCAGATAGTCCAATGCGAGAGAGATCAGCAGAGACCTCCAAAAGAAGGGAAAAAACAGGGCAATAAGAAATTAGGATGATAAGATGTTGAAACTGGCCCAAGCAAATAGAAACCAATGATAATACTGGGGCTATAAGAATGAGAAGGAAAAGAGCTGTATTGGACCTGACATTTTAAAAAAATGTAGGTACATTAATGAACATCCAAATTGCACATCTAAAATAGGTGCAGTTATGGTGAGAGAATTATTAATTCTTATTATTTTATTTATTTGTATTACCATAGTGTCTCTGAGCCCGAATCATGAACCAGGACCCCATTGTGCTAGACGCTGTACTAAAGTAGATTGTGTGTAATTATTAATTTGCATATGCAATCATCGTAATTGCATGAAAAGAACAAACAATTATTTTGTACAGATATTTGCATCCTGAATCCAGCCCGCTAGTTTGTCTTGTGCCTCTGTTGTGGGTTCATGTCTCTCTCTAAGTAAATAGAGTGAGGGTCACGATCTGGATGTGTCATGGCTGAGGAATGCCATGTGAGAACTGCAATGGAACAACATGCTGAGAACAAGGTGTTGCTGCATTCTGGTGGTGGGTGACAGTTAGTCCTGTATAGAGAGGGCCTGATCCTGGGTCTGGCTGAGTGCTAACACATGCAGCACCCAAGAAGTTAGAAAAAGTAACTTTCTGCCACCTTTGCAGCTCCCCCATCCTACATCTGTGCTTCTGCTTGGCCCTTGTAACTTTGAACAGCCTCAGAGTGGCTGTGATTTTTTCTCAGCTGTCCACAGCCTCAAGGGGCCATTCCAGCTGTTGTAGAATGCTGATAGCAGTGACATTCCGGCCACACCCCTTCTGTCAGAGCTTTCCAATCCCCCCTGCACTGCTCCAGTGTCACAAAGGGGTGGTAACAGCCCAGAACATCCAGCCCACAGTCTGTGAAATGACTTGCTGTCTTGAAGGAGGAAAGAAGTTCTACAATATAAGATACTCTTGGTATTGTATTAAGATATGGTATTGTAACCATAATAAAGTCTGCGGTAGGACCATGTCAATCACTCATGCAAAAAAGTGAAAGATTAAATTTCTTTGTGTGCCTTTTTCCTCCCTCCCACTCTAGTGTCCTGCGCCTGGCATTCAGATAAATGGTATGTGATTGCCGTGTACAATCTATCATTGTATTTTGTGATAAGCCTTAAGGTTTGTTGTGGGGAGGAAACAGTGTTAATTTTTTCTTTTTCTTCCTCTTTTATCAGCAACAGAAGTTTGCGAGAACATAACCAGGTATTTGCAGAAATTAACTGGAAAAATCTTTTTTTGGAAGCATAGTTTGGCTATTGCATGCTTTCCCAGAGTAGGTTCAAAGTCAACTTAATCAGAGGTGGGAGGAGATTATCTTCCTGCCCCTTTTGGAATCATAGACAGGTCCATAATTAACCCCTATTTTAAAGGTTCAGCTCTGGATTATGGTAACTCTCAAATGGGAAACCTATCTGGCTCATTGGGTGCTCAGGGTTAGTACGGGAGGACTATGATTGGATGAACCATCTCAGGATGAACCCGCCCAAGGCTAGGTAAAATCCAGGTTCATCGCATTGGTGAAGCACTTGTTTGCAAAGGCTGATTAAATGAGTCCTTCCAGCATCCACAAGGTCTGATGTATTGACATTAGACTTGGAGAAGGCTAACAGGCATATTCAAGCTGCAATACGTGGGTGTAACTCCCATTAAAGTCCCTGAGCCATATTGAGTGGTGACCTAAACAGAGGGCTATGTTACACACTGGGTGTAAATTGGTCCGAATGTGGACGTATTTGCCAAGGTACTTGCACCAATTTGACATATTGAGTGTAACTTGCACGCCAAGAGGATGTAGCAGGAAAAGCAACAAACAGGCGATTGTGAGAGGTAGCAGGATCTTCTCCGCACACTATAGTAGATCCCACACTATCCCCAACACTGTTACATTCAGCTCTGCCGTAATGGTGCCAGATACAACCAAAGATCACAGTGGGAACTGCACCTGCTTATGCCAAAGCTGAATTTGTTCAACCAGCCTGGGACAAGTTATGCCACTCTGCCACTTACAGCCTTTCTCTGACCAGTTACACTCAATGCGTATCCTATATTAGTAGTTAGAAAACATGTATTTAAAGACTCTCTGCACACACTGATACTTTGCCATTGATTTCAATGGAAGCTGAACTCACATATCATATGTTCTGAGCTGAAAAAGAAGCAGCTCATTAGACAGTCACTAAATTAGCATTTGTTTCACTCGTGTGTTTGCTCTTATGGAGTACATTGCAGTTTCTTCCTCTCTTTTCACAGTAACGATGTTGGAAGGTCCTCAAATTTCACTCATTTAATCTGTGACAATGTGAGTATCACAAAGGGCTAGTCAAGAGGTTGCAAATATCCTTTCTAGTCCATTCTATCATATTTCACTGCAATGTTAACATCTTGCTCGCTTCCATAATTTCAAACTGGTTGAGTTTTCTAGGACGTTGTGGGCATTGATAACAAGGAAATGATGATTCTAAGAGTCACAGTCCCCTGCTTGGTCCGCCCCCTGCTCCAAGGGGAGGGTTTTTATCAGAACTTTTCCCTCCATACTGGCCAGTGCACTGGTGGGGGAGAGACAAGGCTACCCACAGTTGCCCTTCTCGTCATGCACCTGAGCAGAAGGAGGGGGGAGCAGGAGCCCCATGGAAGTGACTTGGGATGCCCATAGGCCATACAAGGGAGCTAGGAGAGGCCCTGCTCTCTCTTACTCTCCCAGAGTAGCAGCATAAATGTAGGTAATAGCCATACCAGAACCATGCCAGGTTCTGGGTGTAAATCCCTTCACAGGGAGAAAATACCTGGTCCTAAAGGGGTCTTTAATCTAGCAGAGCAAGACATAAGAAGAACCAATAGTTGGAAGCTGAAGTCAGACCAATTCCAATAAGAAATAAGGCACAGTTTTTTAACAGGGAGAGTGATTAATCACTGGAACAAATTAGCAAGGGAAGTGGTGATGTCTTCAAATCAAGACTGGGTCCTTTTCTGGAAGATTTACCGTAGTTAAACACAAGTTAGTGGGCTCAATACAGGGATAACTGAGTGACCAATGAGGGTCTGTCATACAGAAGGTCAGATAGATTATCAAATGGTCCTTTCTGGCCTTAAACGCTATGAATAACTTGGGGTTAATTGCTATCATGTCAAGCAGGAAGTGATGTTATCATTTTGGAGAAATTATGCAGGAAATGAGAAAGAAAGAAAGAAAGAAAGAAAGAAAGAAAGAAAGAAAGAAAGAAAGAAAGAAAGAAAGAAAGAAAGAAAGAAAGAAAGAATTATTATTTGTCTAGGTCAATGGATTTGTTTGTTCTCCAGCTACACAACTTGTCAACATGGAACAGTTCCTTTATCAGGGAAGCATTGGAGTTCCTGCTGAGGAAAGACGTTGATTTACAGCTAAGTGTTGTGAAGCTCCTTGTCAGCAAAGTGAACGGGAAAGAGCTGGAGGAAGCATTGGAAGAATTTAATGACAAGGTAAACTAGCACTTTGAGTGAGGCTCCATGGAAAAAGTGCAGGAGTTGTGAAGCACACTTCTTACGCTAGCGCTTTGAGAAAGAACATTATCTTCTCCCTCCGTTCGTGCCCTTGTGTTCTTGTTCTGTGTTGGCTGTTAAACTACAGATACTCTGCTTATATTCTACTCTCTGCAGAGTGCCGATACTTTTGTTACCTGAATGGTAAGAAAGCACCCATCACTATAACAGGCTGCAGTCTAGAGAATGCACGTAACCCAAGACTGTGAGCCAGGACACTTAGCTTGTGTTCCTCCCCCTGGTTTGGGGCAAATCACTGTGTTTCTCTGTGTCCCATTTTCCCCATCTGTAAAGTAGGGGTAAAATCTTGCCCTCTCTCACGGGATGCGGGGAGCTCTCATAAAGCTGGTCGAATAGAAAGAAAATATTACGACAGATTGATAAGCCAACTTCAGCTCACAAATGGTTTCCTAGCACAAAAACCAGCTACATTCATAACTAGTATTACTGGTGACAAATCGTTGGTCCATCTCTGGCTGTGAGGCCTAAAGAATTAGCATTTGTGAAACTCCTCGGGATCCCTGGCTGACTGGCGCTATAGCCGGGTGATGTACGGGATGCTGATTGTTACCCAATATCAAAGATAAAATATTTATGTTGCAGGTTGTTAACTCCTCACGGATCCCATCGGAATGGAAAGGCTTTGCACTGGAGGCATTATGGGATGGGAAGCTGAGAAACGAGGAGCTTTATAATGAGACAGAGTTTGTGGGGCCATGGTTCCAGAAGAGGTTAAGGCCCTTTTTAGCTGCAGTCTCTATCGACATACTCCAGTGCCTTCGGAATGAGACCTTGGGATGCGCGCAGTATCAGGCAATGTATGTTTCACTGGTTATATCTAGTCTCATTAGTAAATCTCTCCCGTCTCCCAACTCTCTGTGTTAGAAATGGATCCGTGACTTAGATTCAATTCAAATAGTGTTCCTGAGAGCCTGAGCTTATGAGGGACTGTGTGCTGTCTGCTGCCGTTTATATCAATGCGAGCTGGAAGAGCTTAGCACCAAGGAGTAAGTGCTGAACATCCGCCTGGATCAGAATCTGAGTTTGACACCTTCCTGGGTTCTGGATGGATGGATAGATAGATAGATAGATAGATAGATAGATAGATAGATAGAGGGAGTGTCTGGAGATAGATAGATAGATAGATAGATAGATAGATAGATAGATAGATAGATAGATAGATGGGGTGGATGGGGTGGATGGGGATAGATAGATAGATTCTGTATCTATATAGATGACTGATACCTTAGATTTGGTAACATCTGCTTCTTTGATGAGCGAATTGGAGAGATTAATCAGGGAAAGAGAGAGAGAGAAGAACGTTGGGGAAAGGTGGAGTGAGAGCTACGGAAGACAGTGGCTCAGAGCCTGGTGTGTGGGCATGGTACCCACAGTGGGAGAGCAGCATGTACTGATCAGGTGTACAACATTCACAGCCAGCTGAGGAGATTCTGTGACTCCTTTAAGTGGAATCTATGATAAACAGCCATATTGAGATCAAAGACTGGGAGGCAAAAAGCTGAATGGGACATCTTGCCTGTCATAACTAATCTGCCCCCCCCCACTCTCTCTGTGATGTATCATTCCCTGTTCCAGAGTTAAAGGCCTGGATCTGGAATTTAAAAAGATGAACCACAGTACCCAAGAGGAAGTCTACAGTGCTTTCCAGCTTCCTTACCTGAAAGGGTTAAACGTTGCAGGTAAGGGAACCCATGATGGCTCCAGGCAAACCTGACACATCGCTGTCTGTTTTCAGGAGATTTGAATGGTGGTTCGGCTCTGACACTTGGGGTGCCAGGTGGGCAGTGATTCCTGCTGGAGAGCTCAGTTTATCCAGAGAGCTGCCTGGCAAAGGGGCTGCGAATGCCCTGAAATACACGCAAGGGCAGCCCAGAAACCAGTGCATTTTTCAATCCTGACTTAGGCCTTGGATATTGTTGCTGACGCCTCTTCAAGTTTTATTGAATGGTGCTGGGGCAGGGGGAGTTTTAGCACCTCCTGCCTGCAGATCATGGCCTTTTGAATAGCCCTAGCAGTGTCTGATCTCATGGCACTTTCTAGTGAAGCATCCTTTTTTCAGCATCACGTTCCTTTTGAGCTGCGGGAGGTGCCCCCATGGCTGTCCACTGTTCTCTTGCAGGGTCAGCTTGTGTTGATGGCCTTAACACCAGCACGGCTTGGCTAACGGCCAACTTTAGAAACTTCAGCAGACACGCTGCATATCACGACTTGCTCTCTCTGAACTCCAGATTTAATGGGGTAAGTAGTGGCTATGATTATTCCTACATACAGAGACAGGTGTGGTTATATTTTGGGTGTAGGACCCTGTTCTAAATGAGTTGCTGGCTTCAGGCCGCTTCCTAGGCGGACAGGTGCTAATAATCAGAAACCTCATTGTCACTGCCAGCACTGAACGGCTCCCTGGTGGGAGGTCCAAGCAGAGAGGTCAGTGCTTGATTGTCCCCTGGAGAATGAACTACTCTAGGAGTGGTTCCTGGGGCTGATGGGTGAAACACATGTGAGTGTGGGGGACGCTTCCCCTGTTACTGTCCATGTGGTGCCTGTTGTGTGGATAAATACAAATCTTGAGCCTGTAGACCTGTCATTTTATCAACAGCTCTGCAGGACATCAACTCAACCCCATCCTTCACCAGCACGGAGGGTTTTCTAAAAACTAGAGCAACATGCGTTTTGCCTTGAGTCACTAAAATTGCTGCCCTGGGCATCCTTCCTACCTAAAGCAGATGTCTCATTCCTGTCCCTTCTCCTTTCACTCTGCCTCTTCCTTAGTTCGATGTGCTCAGTAGTCTGACAGTGAAGCAGCGTGCACAGTTATCAGCCACCCAGGGGACCTTGCAGACCCCCGAAGATGTTCAGAGACTGATGAGTTTTGTGACCACCTCTACAGTAACCGAGTACATCGATGAATTGAACAGACAGGTCAGGCTGGTGAGAGTCATTCCAGTGTCCAGGGCCATAGCCGGCCACTGGAGGAATTGTCATTGAAGGCAGTGGAACTTTTGTGCAAAAAGCCGTGGCAGGATTCATAGCCCTGATAGGCTTAACTTCCTCAAAAATGTTGGGATACTCTATGGGAGTGTAGGTACAATACGGTATCTGTTCCGCATGCCCATCCATAGATAACACATTCCCTACTTCTCCGTAAGGAACATGTGGATACGGGGAGGGAAAATGAGGCTGGGATGGGACACTGCAGCTGAGAGGAATTTGGGACCGGGAGAACTGTGCTTTTATCTTCAAAGTAGTGTGTGTCTCCATTGGGCATCTGGGCGAGGGTGTGAGGATGGGAGCGGAAAAGAGGCAGAGGGGGAATCTAAAAGCAAGCCGTGCTTTCCAGAGTCTCAAGAGACTAGAGACCTATTGGACTATAACCAGCTCCCTTCCCAGCGGCTTCGAATCCAAGACACCTTGGGCCGCATCTTCCGCTGGTGTCCTGCATAGCTCCTTTGACTTCAGCAGTGCTATGTCAGTTCACATCAGTTGAGGATCTGCTCCCCACAGCTCTCTCTTTCTCCTTCCCTTTGCTCCAGGCCAACCTGAGTCTGAAGGGGGACATCAGAGCCACGCTGCTACAGCACATCCTAGCTGCAGCCCAGCCAATATTTCAGAAGGCAGATGATGCTGAATTCGTGCACTGGATGGATCCTCGCCTTGCAGGCTTGATCTCAGGACTGAACAGCACCCATGTCCCACTCGTTTTCAACGGTCTAGAATCTAGAAACTGCTCTGCCATCAATGCTGTGTAGGAGCTATTCCCTTCCCCTGTTTATTATAGGACTGGCTCAGACTATTATTATCATCAATTAAAGCTGGTTGGAAAAGGTTATTCCCCTCTCCCCCATGGAAAGTTTTGACCTTTCAGCAAAACATCTAAGTCCAAAAGATGTCAACCAAACCCTGACATACTTTGATTCTGAAATGCTGCTGCCGTGCCTCATGGGAGCTGTAGTTCAGGTGCCTGACACTCCCATTCTCCTCTATACGCCAGGCTCCCTGGTTGGACTACATCTCCCTGGATGCATGTTGGACTGCCCTCTTGGTGAGCCTGTGTGGTACATCATGGGTGTCCTTGGTCATAGTGTAGACAATGGTTCCTCAAAAACCCAATTTTCTGTCCAAAAACAGTTTGGACAGAAAACTTTTGACCACCCCTATTATCAATACTTTTCACGTGCAGAGCACCTTTCAGACAAGGACCTCAAGTAGCACCTTATGAAGATGAGTGGCTATTATGATTCCCATTTTTCAGAGGTAGAAACAGATGCAGCGAGGCAGTGACAGAGCTAAGCATAAAACTCAGGAGCCCTGACTCCTGTTCCTGTGATCTAACCAGGACATCATTTTACATCCTGTGTTGATTATATGCTTATTATTTCGTGCAGTGCTGCCCACTGCTAGGTGCAGGTATATAAGGACGCAGTTCCTGCCCTGAAGAGCTGTTACATTGTTTTGATTTGTTTTTTTATGGGGGAAGGGAGTTGTATTAAATTGTATAGATTACACTGAAGCCAGATCTACATGTAGTGAAAGCGGTTTATTTCTGTGAACCCTGCATGGCTGCTAAAATACAGCAGTGTTAATAACACAAGGTCTGTGCATTAGAATATTGTGATGATGGTGTTATATTATGGACACAAGCAACTGGTGGATTCTCGCCTAGATCAAATGCACTGGCTAATCCAGACTGTTGCTGTGTAGAGATGTGCATCTTTTGAATCTCCATCCAACCCCTTTGCCCCCCTCATTCCCAAAAGCATGAGCAGGTTCAGGGTTCCCTGTTTCCAAGGGGCTTCCCAATTTTCCATCTCCATCTCCCATGAAATACACAAGCAGATTGGCATATGTATATTTTTGGTGCATCCAAACAGTGGTTAGCCTTAATCTGGTCCCAGGGTCCAAACCCCTGGCTCCCGATGGAATTTCCCAGCCAAGTCACTGGGCTTCGTGCCTCAGTCAACCCAGCTGGAGAGTGGGGTGAAAAACCTCCCAAGAATACACTGTACCTGAGCTGAGTTTACCTGGGCTCCCATCCAAATCCCACTGAGGTCAATTCAGACTCTTGATGGGAACTTCAACAGGAGTTTGATTAGGCCTTTGAGTACCAGGAGGGGGTTGCTAAACTGCTTAACTGGAATGAGTTAAGTGATGTATCTGCTATGTTACAGAGTAACTGTGCTTAATAGCTCCATCACCGACTTCAGCAACACCACGCGACAGAGCATTTACCGCGGGATACTGAACGTGACAGCCGGTAAGGAGCATTGTTCATGGAAAGGTTTCACTAAACGATTCAGCTGCTTTGACATCGTAACTGGTTCATTCCACTCCGCTGAGCCCCACTCCCAGGCATTATTTTTAAGCCATTGTCCTTTTCCCTCTGGTTATTTCAGGTTCCTCCCTACGGTGCTACATCACAAACACTAGCTTCGCCATGTATTTAAGAGAGACGTTTCAGGGCTTTGCTGCTTTTCTGAATCTGAGAGATCTCGCCTCCATCGTTCCAGCATCTGAAATCCAAACGGTACTGGAATAGCTAGGAGATGTGTTCGTGATCTTGCTACAACCCTCGGTTACACACACAGCCCACCTGAACAATCCTGTGAATTTGTACATGTATTCATAACATGGTCTCCACATTTATTTTTTGCCTAATGCAGGAGGGGGCATTCTGCCTCCTGACGTACCTCCTTTTTGGGGAGACATTCTTTCAGAGTTTCTCTCAGTTACTAGTCCAATTGCTAGTGGCACATCTCTCTCTCTCTCTCTCTCTCTCTCTCGTATTTACAGGGGACCAATCACAGTAGTATCTGAGCCAACTGCCCCATTCCACACTCCTCTGTTCATCATTGACCTATGTTTAATGAAGTCTCTTGAAAGTTTCTAACGTGCTTTACACAGCCTGTTGTCACACAGGTGAAATAAGAGGCTGGTCTTGGAAAGTTCTACCTGTACTCACATTGGGGCGATTCAAGTGATCTCTCCTATGAGTAAAGTTTACAGAGCTGGACCCTAAATGGATAGATCTGAGTCTGGTTCTTAGTTGTCCAGTCCACATTACCAAAACCACCACTTCAGGTGACACTAATTGACTCCATTGTTGACAATCTCAGCAGAGAGGCCAAGGGCTGACTGGCCACTGAGTCTGAACTCCACTTTCATTGCTAGGCGTGATCCATTCCAGTTCAGAGTTGGGCACATTGGGAGAGAGCAGAGGGAAGTTACCAGCTCTGTGGTTTATATCCATTCTGTACATGAACAGGCTTCAGGGTTGTCAATCCAGCACCCATCACCCGTACAACAGTCACAGCAAACAGTTCCTTTTGTCTAAGAGTTGCTACCATCAGCCTTCTTCAGTCTAATCCTTATCTCTTCATCCCAGATTGTGAATACAATGGCCCCAGCTGCACTGGCTGATTTGTTATCCAGTTCTGACTTTCTCAATGACAACAACTTCCTGACCGTTCTTCTGAAGAACTATAAAAGGAGAGGGGCCTTCATTGACCTGTTTAACCAGAGGAGCATTATGGTAGGTCAGATATTTGCTTCTCACTTTCCCTAAGTCCAAATGAGCCTCCATATTGTAATGGGTTTTGCACAGAAACACCCCACCAGTGACCTGAATTAACAGGGGTCCAAATCAAGAGAATTCAGTGAGTTCCACAGGCAGCAAAGGGATATTGAAAATGTGTCCGGACACTGCAAGTAATAAATATATTGGATCTTGCAGAGTGTTCTTGGAAGTTGACAGTATTTTATTAGGTTTTATAATATAGGAAGGACAAAAAAATGAGAAAAAAATACATATGCAACTAAAAATGACTATGGGAATAAGAGCTCCATTAATATCTTCCAAGGTGCAATCTGAATAATCTAGCAGAGACTAGAGTAAAGAAGGGTATTTTGCTGCCATTTTCCTTTGCCTTCCCTCTAGGACACCCTCCCAAATGACACCAGGACAGCCATTCTGGCTGGTGTGTGGCCTGCGGTGTTGAGGAGTGACAATGAGACAGTGGTGGACACGTGGCTCAGCGCACGTCTGTCGCAATATTTCAGTTTTATCCAAGGCAACATACTGAACTTCAGTGGGACCCGGAATGCCAGCTGCACAGCGTTCCGCACGATGTAAGCCCCCTCAGTGGAGCACCGAGGGCTCCTTTGTGTCACAAGTATTTCTGATCCTTAGTTGAACAAATTTCTTGACATTTATGTGTCTGTAACACAAAATACTCAGAGTCGCAGAACATTTCTTAACATTTCCTTGTTCCATCTTTGTTTCGAGTACCAGCTTCCCGGTCTATAGGAGGAAGCCATCCTGTGCTTAGCTGCATACCTGTTCCTTTCCCCAGTTCTAGGCTGTGTTTGCTTTTGCCGTCTAATCTTCACTACTCCTTTGTTTCCATTTCTCTATACAGCGTGGGCAAACTGAGCAATAACATTACAGCTTTCAAGGTCAGCCAGCAAGAGATCTATAATTTCACCAAAGACTATCTCACCGGTAAGTCTCAATGTCTGCCCTAGGAGCAGATGGTCTGCTAGAGAATAGCCTGTATTCTCTTCTCACGTGATAGTGCCCAAAAGCATGAGAAATAAAGTGAAATTTTAATGTTTGAACCCCGACTTGGATCTGGTTTAGGCTGAAATTCAGAGGTCAGGTTCAAGGCTGAATCTGGGCTGGGGTTGAGTTTGGATTCTGCAGGGGTGGAATGGCAGTAAGTATTTGCAAGAAATTTTAACTTCCAACAGTAGAAATTTCATGACAGCGCAGATATCTATGGGTACAGAGCTTTATCTCTAGCTGCGTTACCTGGGTTATGATTCAACTGTCATTTATTATGCAGCAACAAGTGCTAGACCCAGATGTTACAATGCCAGTGACCCACGCACAGCAAATTGGTTTGCTGCTTACCTTGGGCGTTCCATCCGCTACAGCAGTGCGGACGATGTAAGATCATTCATCAACAACAACGCAACACTTGTAAGTATGCTGGCTGGGGGCTTCAGTGTGATACTGGCCTGCGATGCAAGCCCACATGGAAATAACCACAGCGTGAGATTCTACGCCTGGATCCGGTCCAACTGAAGTTAGGGGCAAAACTCCCATTGAATTTAATGGGTGTTGGAGTGGGTCCATTAAGAAGAGGAGCACTGGCTCGTGCGCTCCCCCTGGTGGCATGGTCAAGGCGGCTACCAGGCCCCAAAACAGCTCTGCCAACCCCAGCTGGACCTCAGACAACAGCAGAACCTGTTAGCTGGGGGAGAATGCACGACTCCTATAGAGTTGAGTTTATGAGAGTTGATATCCTTCAAAGTGGTAAGGTCTCCACTTATGTAGTTAAGGTGCAGTCCAAGAGCCAGGTTCTTCTGGGACGCCAGTTCCCTGGGCGGGAGGGAAGGGTTTTTTTTAAATGGGACAAGGACAGGTACACTCACGGAGCCTTAGCAGGCATGGAAAATAAACTCAGCATCCTACCTAGACTTATTCCCTATGTGCTGACTTGGGCCCCCTGCCCTATATACCATGAAAAGAACTCAGTGACAGAGTCTGTATCTGCCTTGAATCCACCTCGGGCGCTGTGCACATGTGAGATTTAGCTTTGCAGGTTCCTGTAGGGAAAAGACAAAGATCTTTGCTGCCAACAATCCACACGCTTTACTTCTCCCTCTCCAAGCAGATACCCAGCCCAACTTCCTGTGAAGTATTCTGGGTCGCATACTCCAACAGGCGTTTCCTGTGCTAAGAAGTACTGTATTTAGACCGACACTAGCGGGCATTAAAAAAATTATTGGCTTAATCTCAGAGTTGCTGAGTGCTGTCAGTTCCTGCTGAAGTCTACAGATGCTCAGCATCTCTGAAAATCACACTGAGCGTGGACTGACACTGCACATTCGCCCTTTCCTAGCTCCAGGATCTAGCCATAAACCCAGACAACCTGAGACTCATCAACCACACAAGAATCCATAAGGACGTAGCAGAGCTGTATGCCACAGCGCTGTTTGCCAAGAATTCAAACTTCAGTCTTGTCAAGTGAGTAAGAAATATTTATTAGCACTAAAAGCAAAGAAAATGTGCAGGAAAGGAATGAAGATGGTGAGTTTGCTTCCATGTGCTGTGCAAACGTTTATAGAAGAGCATCTGTTGTTCATTTAAATTTACACACACGCTCATTATATTTATGAGAGCTGGGTGAAAAATGGTACGTTTCATGAAAAAAAACCCACCGCACAAATCTTTTGTTTTCTTGAAATTTTTGTGAACATTTTTTAATGTTTCTGATTTTTTAAAAATGTTTTTCTCACTTTTCAGTTTTTCAGTGTTTTGTCCCCCCTCCCTTTTTTCCTCCTCTGAAGAAGGATGATGGGGAAGAAAGAGGAAAAACAAAAAAATGAACAAAGAAAAATGAAACCTTAAAACTGAAAAAAATTAAAATTGGGGTTTTTTTGGTTGAAAAATTAGAAAATTTTGGAAAAAAAACCAGAAAGATTCTATATGAACATTTTCATTTTTAAAAAAAAGTCCATTTTAATAGGAAAAAAAGTTTCAAATGAGAAATATTGACCAGCTGTCTAAATAGCCAATGGCAGACACTCTCTCTGTCTCACCCACCCACCTACCCTACTAACATGTTTTTCATTTCACTTTGCTCAAAGCCTTCCAGACCAGCTCCTCTGCTTTGCCAGACATTCTACTGCAATACGCCTGCTCAACTCCAGTGCTTCACTGAGCATCATTGCTAGGATAAACCTCCATTGTGTCCCTTCAAACGCATCAGAACTCAACGACCCCTTTACCACTGACCGCCAGGTAAGTATCCAGAGGTCTGTGAGATGTTTCTTAGCTGTTCAGAAGCCAGAGGGACATCCCATCAGAGTGTAACTCTAGGGGGAGGTCAGGTGCTGGGCTCTGGGGAAGTGTTGAATCGGAGTTTGCAGCTCCAACCTCTCTCTGTAAAGGCTGAATCCCAACACTCCAAAATCTTAGGGAAGTTTGGCTTTGGAACCAGTCATCTGTGTGGTTTTGGTTTGACCCTTAATTTAGATATAAAGTTTAGATCCAGACCCAGAGTCTGAGTGTAGGTTGATCATCTGGAGATTGGCTTCTAGGCCATAGTCATAAAAAAACCCAACATTCCTGAGCAGAATTTTGTCTCAGGTGAATGTTCCACAGAATTTTCTAGTTGAACTTAGTTATTAGCGATTTGTTGATTATTGTTTACAGTTTTCATCTCCCTTTCCTTCCAGCTTGCAACTATGCTCGTAGCTCAGATCACTACTTTTGATGCAAGGACCCTGGCTGCTTTGGGGCAGCAAGCCGTGGGGCTGACCTCCGGGCAGATTTTAGAACTGAGAGCTCAGGATATAGCAGATCCACTGGCCTTGCAGTCGCTTGGACAAGTCAACGGCTGGGATAGGGGACAATCTCAAGGGCTGATGAATAAGTTAATCAGCAGTAATTTCACGGTAGGAATTTGTCATCTTGCTAAGTGGGTCTGAACAGAGCATCTGGTGGTGATGTTATTTTGCCCATTTTGTATCTAGTGCACATATATTTTGATTGCACGTTCATCGTTAGTGGAGCTGGCGCACTCCCCGTTGAACAGTCAGTTTCTATGGGGTTGAACAGAGGGTTCGGGATGGGGAAGTCTCCACTAAGCGCTGCACCTTAGAGTTCTAATCGGGTCTGCTCTGTGTTTTCTTCTCATCGCAGTTTGATACGGCAGAGGCGTTTCAGAGACTTGGAAGGTTGGTGCCAGGCCTCCCCAGTCGCGTCTTCAATAACATCACAGCAGACACTGCGATGAAGATGGCTAAGAATGCCAATTTCCATAGAGCCATCAAGAAGGCTCCTGGCTATTTAAAGAGAGCTTTTGTGGCCAAGGTAAGCAAAACTGCTAGGTGAGAACCTGCCTTCTTTCTTATTACTGAGTACCTGGTCCCTGTGACAGCTGGGGGTGGATTAAAACATCCCCATGATATTCTTATAAGGGAAACGTGGTCTAGATGAAATTACTATAAGGTGGGAGCACAACTGTACTCAAAGGGTAGTTATCAATGATTCACTGTCAAACAGGGAGGACGTATCTAGCAGGGTCCTACAGGGTTCCGTCCTGGGACTGGTACTAGTCAATATTCCCTTTAATGACTTGGATAATGGAATGAAGTGTATGCAGAGTGGAGAGTAGGTTTATAACATTTGTGGATGACACCAAGCTGGGAGGGGTTACAAACACCGTGGATGACAGGATTAGAATTAAAAATGACCTTGACAAATTGGAGAATTGGTCGAAATTCAACAAGTTGAACTGCAGTAAAGACAAGTGCAAACTAATGTTCTTAGGAAGGAAAAATCAAAAGCACAACTACAAAATGGGGAATAACTGGCTAGACAGCAGAGCTGCTGAAAAGGTTCTGGGGGTTATAGTGTATTACAAATTGAATATGAGTCAACATTGTAATGCAGTTGTGAGAAAGGCTAATATCATTCTGGGGTGTATTAACAGGAAGAAATTTCCCGTTCTACTCAGTGCTGGTGAGGCCTCAGCTGGAGTACTGTGTCCAGTTCTGGGGGCCACGCTTTAGGAAAGATGTGGACAAATTGAAGAGAGTCCAGAGGAGAGTGACAAAAATGATAAAAGGTTTAGAAGACCCAACCAGTGAGAAAAGGTTAAAAAAACTGGGCATGTTTAGTCCTGAGAAAAGAAGACTGAGGGGGAACCTGATAACAGTCTTCAACTATGTTATGGGCTGTTATCAAAAGGACTGTGATCAATTGTTCTCCATATCCATTGGAGGTAGGACAAGAAGGAATAGGCTTAATCTGCATTTAGGTTAGATATTAGGAAAAACTTCCTAAGTATGAGTAGCTAAACTCTGGAATAGGCTTCTAAGAGACATTGGAATCCCCATCACTGGAGGTTTTTACCTGTCAAGAATGGTGTAGGGATTTATTTGGTCATGCCTCAATGCAAGGGTCTGGACTAGATGACTTCTCAAGGGCCCTTTGATGGCTACATTTCTATGGCAAGCAAAATGTAGTCTAGATTGCCAGAAACCCAGATCTGCAACCCAAGCCATTGAATTTTCTGGGGATGGAATTGCAAAATGTGGAGATCCCATCAGAAAATGTGGGCATCTGGCTATTATTAGCCTGATTCTTTCATCCCAATGCATTAAAAGCATTTCTGGGGCAACTCACGCGGGAAGTCAAAGCCATGTATTTTGATAAGTTGACGGTATCCCTTGCAGATCATCTCCAATTCCTCATCGCTGAATGACATTTTAAATAACGTGCCAGATGATTTGGTGGACCAGGTTCCAATCCCATTGTTGGTGTTTCGAGACGAGCTCCTAGATCTTCGCAAAATCAACGAGAAACAATGGACACCAGAGCAGGTGACGTTAAGGGCTTGTCTCATTCTCTTCATTTCCAGAAGGGTGTTTAAGGCTGATGCTAGAGTTGGTTATATGTTAAATCAATGGAGGGTTGACCTGAGTGAGGGCTGGGCTCTGCATTCAGAGAGGAGTCTATTAGGTTTAAGGTTGCATTTAACTACATGTGGGAGGTGAAGGCCCTGGGGACATTTTGTGAGAGGTTCTGTATAAGTGTGTATTATTATTTTATCTACATGCTCTGCTTTTAACCACCCATGGTTTCTCAGACATCTCCGTGACCTGCACAAATCTGAGTGGTGTGAACGTTAAGGGAGTTGTTTGCCACTTATAAAAAGAATTATGGAGAGGTCAAAGCCCTCAGCAAGACATCTAATCACACAGTAACGTTAGCTTTCTTCTTTTCTCTGTGGGGCTGGTTGCGCATGGTTCTTGGCTTGTCTCCCCCCATGTCTTGTCTATCTGAGTGTGTGTTGTTCTCCCTCACAGGCAGCTGTGTTTTTTGTGGATGTATTGAATGCTACCGATAATTACGCTGAGTGAGTACTATGTTTTCAGAACTCCAAGCTTTGTGGGTAGGAAAAATAATCTCAGTAGATGGCTTATATGGAGCTATGTCGTATGTGCTTCCGACGCTGCTAAGAATCAGCGTGACAGGCTGCTTGGATGTGGGCCAGATTTCAAAGGTACGTACGCACCTAAATGCCTTTGCACATGTGGTCCTGGATGCCTAGGTGGAGTTTAAATACCTCTGTGTAGTGTTTTATTGTAGAACAAAAACAGACGTGTAAAGAATGCCCTACCCCTTTAAATCCAAACACAAATACAAGGGCTTCCCTCAGCCAAAATCCAGGTGTAGGCTCAGTTTGCCTCACCCAAGCTTAAAGCAAAGGCTTAAAGGGAGCTCGTTTCAGGACAGAAGGCAGCACTCAGCCTAGGGTACGTTTTGTATAATTCCCCTCTTGTGACAGCTTACGGTCACGGTCTCTTGCATATAGACAAACCCACAGCCATTGATCGTAGCGACTAAAGGCAGCCTAGAATTTCCACTGGCTTGTGATCAAGCGTCCTCTTTGAGTGAAATCTCATTTCAAATGCCCTGTGCCCATGAAGAACTAACCCGCCCTGAATTTAGCCTTTCAGCAGCAGTGCTGCAAGGTTTCCAGTGCGGCGCAGCCAGCAGACTGTCGCCTGACAAGATCTCGTCGCTGGTGGAACACGTGAAAAACAAAACCGCCACGCTGAGTGCTCACCAGGTAGGAGGTTCCTTGCCATAACGCTGGCTGGGGTAGAAAGCCAGGAGAGCATGTTATGAACATGTGTGTAACATGTTGCTGTCTGTTAGATGCGCCACACATTCCAGGGAATCACTACACGGAAAGTTACAGGCTATATTTTTTAAAGTGTGGGTAGAAATGCACAAAGCCCCCCCACAAAACACTGCATTGTCCTGCAATGGCGGTGCCCCAGGTGGTGGGCCTGGATTTCAGTCTGACTCTGGTTGAAATGAATCCTGTCATAGGGTTTTCCCAAGCTCTGCTTCCAGAACCTTCCCCTGCCTCAGTTTCCCTACTCTCATGTTAGCTGGCAGGCCAGTGCATCAGCGAAGCTCCCAGCAGAGTCACTGTTTCATTCTCTTTTCTGAGGGATGCATTTATTGTTCAAACACAGCTCAACATCAGTCAGGACAGGTCAGCCAGGTCCTGAACTCCCACTACTGCTCCCAGCACTGCACCTATCCCCAGCCAGGATCCATCTAACTGGTCTGATAAGCCCCTTTCCAGCCCCTTCTCTGATCCAGAGTCTGCTGCAGAAACCTCCCTGCACTCTGCACCTCACTCTCCCTTATGTGACCTGCTCGTTGGCCTTTTATCTCAGCAGCTGGCAGGCAGCTGATCAGTCACAAGTGGGCTAAGCCCAGTTCCCTTAAAGAGACATCCCACCCTAAGACAGACCACGTAAGAGTTCAGCCATAAAAGGTTGTCATGTGCTCACATGCTCCTTTTACTTGCCTGTCAAGCTGCATCGGCATTGCAAAAATACGGAGTCATTCCTAAGCTTATGGTCCTAGATTTGCTGGGGGCCTGTTTCCTAACTAATCCCGTCGGGGCATGCTTCTGTGGAATGAGTAACAATGCAGATGGGTTACCCCGGAAAGCGCAGTGGCCCTGACCCTGCAGGGTACTGCACACCGCACAAAGGGAGCTGGCTGAAATGGGACTTACCTCTCACCTCCCACCATCAGAGATTTTAAAAATAATCGTCCTGATTCTCCCATGCCCTGCCCCCGGGCAAGGTCATTTACATCAGTCCCAAGTGGGCATTACCAGAACGGTAGCATTGTACGCCCAGCTGGCATCGGCGTAAGGGACGAGCCAGGGAGCAAGGCACCAGGATCAGCTGATCGCCTCAGTGTAATTCCCTTCACTCCAAGCAGAGTTCAGCTGGGGATGGATTTGACCCATATGCACAGGGGACCAAAACAACGTGGGGAAGAAAAGCAATGGTGGAAGCAAAGCCGGACTGATGAATGTGTGTCTGTGAGGCAGCAGGAGGGATGAAACATTTCATTTAAAAACAAGAGCTCCCCAGGATTCCCACTTGAGTAAACTGGGTTATTTTTCATTTTTCTCTGACTCTACGGCCCAAGATAAGTTCTAGTTAATGTACTGAAATGTTTCATGAGAAGCAGGTAATATTGACAGTCGTCTGCCTGTTTCTTTCCATCAGTTATCCTGCATGGCCAACATACTAGCTGCAAAGAACCTGACAGCAAACTTCACCAGCTACCCACCAGACGTGCTGCTCTTCTTTGAGTGAGTATCTCAGAGTGGCATACGCGCTCATTTCCCATGTGAGTCAGTAGCATTCGGTCATGAGAGTAGCCCTGATTCAAGGCCAATTATGTCCTTGTGTGTCTAAGGATTACTCCTGTGAGGGAAGTTTGCAGAATTGGGCTCTCAGCTCCAATCCTGCAGCCCTCACTCATTAAAAATCCCCATCAGTGGGGCGTAAATTCAGCTGGAGCCATCTGGAGCAGAGCTCTAGTAAATATTTTTAAACCGGCGGGAGCCCCGGCACGTCCCGCGAGGCTGAAGCCCCGAGCCCCAGGAAATACTTGGTGAGAATTTAAGCCCTGCCTATTGGTTTCAGTGGGAGCTTTTTCTGAATAAGGACAGCAAGATGGAGAACTTCAGACCCAAGTCAGCAAAACACACGTGCTTACCTGTAAGCACAAATGTCCCATGGAAGTCACTAGAAGAACTCCCATGCTTAAAGTGAAGCACACGCTTAAATGCTTTCATGAACTGAGGCCTTAATCCTCAAAGCCCAGGAGTAAAGTTGGGTCTCTGTTTTAATGTAGAGCTTTGAGGGTCGCTGACCACAAGTGGCCGGTAATAAATGCTAGTTCTGGCTATCTGTTAGAAAGCCAGCTGGGCATTTGGCACCGCGTCTGTGGCAATGCGGGGCCATCGGCAAGGAGAGAATGGCTAGCAGCTCTGAGCATAGGAGGCAATGGCACTAGCCCCGGATGCACTACGTGCCCTCTCCATGGGGAGAGCAGAGCATGGAGCAGAAGTTGATGGGCCCGATTCCTCTCTAAGTCACACCAGAGGATCCCCAGGGTTTAGATTCTGCCCCATCCCGCTCAGAGCAGCATTAGCTCATTTCTCAGGAAAGCGGCTGGCGTTACTGGCCCAACGTGCCAGGGACCTCCTCCAGGACAAGTCGCTGAAGAAGGCGCACATGCTGCAAACCACGGTTGTCATTTCTGAGGTCTGTTCCACCCCCCCCCCCGTTTTACACAATTTCCATTCCTTACAGTTTCACCCAAGTGCAGAATCACACCTGCAAAGAGTTTTACAGTCTGGCTTCCCAAGGGAATCTAAACCTGCTGCCAAATGGATCGGCCCAAAGAACACAACTCCTGAATAATGCATTAGTGTGCCTGGTAAGTTACAATCTACCTTTCAAGTGCACCTTCTCGGTGCCCTAATGATCAGTTCAGTGCTTTAGCGGTAGTAGCTATACGCACGACATCAGCCTCCCGGAGTAAATTAAGTCCAGTTAGTTTCCTTTCCTTGCAAATATTAGTTGCTAATATTTGGGGCCAGATCCTGCCATTTTAATGTTGAGTTATAACTTACTCACTGAGTAATTGAGTAAGTTAATATCTGTTGTAAGATAGAGTGGTCAGATACGGCCTTTAGCTTGTAAGCCGGGTGAATACTGAAGGAAAACAAGTTTGAATAGTTCACTCAGAAATATTGCAGAACGTATTGACTGAGACGAGGGATCTCACTCGCCCGGCTCTGGGGAGTTGCCTGGTTTATAAGAGAATTCTGACACCTGCTGTGTTGCCCTTTCCCCCAGGGCAGGGTGAATAACACACTCAGCAAGGAACAGCTTAGCAGCCTCGGAGCGTTGGTGTGTGACATGGATCCAGCAGCCATCACAGACTCCGACCCTCAGATCCTGGAGAATCTGAAGCTCTGTCCAGATCTAACAGGGGCCCAGAAAGCTGCTCTCAACGCTCTCCTCAGCAGTGGGGAAAGCCAGGATGGGTAGGCGCTTCCCCTTGGGGTGTTCTGGACTATAAGGTGGATAGAAAGCTGGCTAGATCGTCGGGCTCAACGGGTAGAGCTCAACGGCTCCATGTCTAGATGGCAGCTGGTATCAAGCGGAGTGCCCCAAGGGTCGGTCCTGGGGCCGGTTTTGTTCAATATCTTCATTAATGATCTGGAGGATGGCATGGACTGCACCCTCAGCAAGTTTGCAGATGACACTAAACTGGGAGGAGTGGTAGATACGCTGGAGGGTAGGGATCGGATACAGAGGGACCTAGACAAATTGGGACAAAAGAAATCTGATGAGGTTCAACAAGGACAAGTGCAGAGTCCTGCACTTAGGACAGAAGAATCCCATGCACCGCTACAGACTAGGGACTGAATGGCTAGGCAGCAGTTCTGCAGAAAAGGACCTGGGGATTACAGTGGTTGAGAAGCTGGATATGAGTCAACAGTTTGCCCTTGTTACCAAGAAGGCTAATGGCATTTTGGGCTGTATTATTAGGGGCATTGCCAGCAGATCGAGGGACATGATCATTCCCCTCTATTTGACATTGGTGAGGCCTCATCTGGAGTACTGTGTCCAGTTTTGGGCCTCACACTACAAGAAGGATGTGGAAAAATTGGAAAGAGTCTAGCGGAAGGCAACAAAAATGATTAGGGGTCTGGGGCACATGACTTATGAGGAGAGGCTGAGGGAACTGGGATTGTTTAGTCTGCAGAAGAGAAGATTGAGGGGGGATTTGATAGCTGCTTTCAGCTACTTGAAAGGGGGTTCCAAAGAGGATGGATCTATTTGTTCTCAGTGGTGGCAGATGACAGAACAAGGAGTAATGGTCTCAAGTTGCAGGGGGGGAGGTTTAGGTTGGATATTAGGAAAAACTTTTTCACTAGGAGGGTGGTGAAGCACTGGATATGAGTCACCTAGGGAAGTGGTGGAATCTCCTTCCTTAGAGGTTTTTAAGGCCCAGCTTGACAAAGCCCTGACTGGGATGATTTAGTTGGGGATTGGTTCTGCTTTGAGCAGGGGGTTGGACTAGATGACCTCCTGAGGTCCCTTCCAACCCTGATATTCTCTGATTCTCTGAAAGAACGAGATCAACCCTGAAATAGAGGGTTATTTGTGTATGGGTATGACTAGAGAATACTGTTTGTGACTTATCTAAACTTTGCCTTTTCCTGCATGGTGCAGGGCTCCTTTATCATGGGATTTAGGGAGTTTGCAGAGTCTTGGATCACTCACTTTGTATCTGAACCGGACAACTTGGAGGTCAGTCAAGGAGGTAGGTTACGCACCTAGGCAGCTTATTAGGGAGATAGGTGTGCCGAGTTCACTCTTTGGGAAACAGGGGTTTGCTTCTGAGATGCACTGGGTAGCATGAGAGTTATATTATTGTATATTATAGCTGTGAACTATGTTCCACACTGTGAAATCCTTGTGTGAGCAGCAGATGCTCATGCACTTGGTCTTTCTCTCTTCCTCTCCCTGCTCCCTCCGCTCCTCTATCACCAACCTCTTCTCTCCCTTCACAGATCTTACAGTTGTTCTGTCAACAGAGCTTTCTCCTCTACCAGTCTTGCCATCTGGGACTCCATCCTTTCCTCTTTGCCAAACCCTGATTGTTTTTAATTCCTCTCTGCTTGGGTCTGATCCAAAGAAGTCAATGGATAGACTCCCATTGACTTCAGTGGGCAATTGATTATGCTTCTTGTGAGCTAACGCCTGCATACCTCTGGGCTATTGCCCGTTTTGTCCTCAGCTTCATCCGCGACTTAGGAACTCTTATTCTTCCTTTTCCCCAGGGTGTGAGAAAGGCCTTCTTCAGAAGTGTTGTCGATGGGTACCAAACCCAAAGTGCATCTCAGAAGGAGAAAACCATGCTCCTCTTAAAATCTATTGGCTCTGCATCACCTTCATCTTCCAGATCTAAACGTGCCACTGAACGTAAGTGGAGGAACGTTAAAATTAGCAATGGGCCAATCGTGGGTTTGGATCAGTTCGGATAATCACTCAATGGTCTGGGGGTAGCATTTTCAAAAGCTTCTGCATGACCTAGGAGCCCAAGTCCCATTCTCTCTGTTCCCCTAGGGCCAGCAAAACTGGGATTACTTGGGGGAAATTCTCTGGCCTGGGGTATCCAGGAGGTCAGACTACATGATCCCCATCTTCTGGCCATAGAATCTATGAATCTGTGAAATCTTTCCCTGTCTACCAATTCTATCAACAGAATGCAAGTCTGAACCTATCACTGCCAGCACCATCCAAGACCCCCTCTTCATTGTGTATTATGACACTAAGGGGCAATTTGATGCATGCTTGAGTAACGAGGTTTTGAAAGCCAACCTGGTTCCATTGCTGGAGCACCCTCTCACAGAGGAGTACCTTGATGTCATGAAAAGAAAACTCAGTGAGGTAACAAAGACTATCACGAAATAAGACAATAACAAGCAACTGAGCTCCAAGTTAGTACACGGCCTTTCCAGGCAGGGAGAACTCTGTTTGTAGGTGATTTTCATCCTTGGGAATAAGCGTCATGGGGAAAGATTTCTGACCAGAGCAGAGTACGTGCATGTTGGGCGGGAGGGTGTTGGGATGTTCATTTCTACATCCTGAAGGACTATAACAGAGTCAATGTGCTGGCTGGGGGAGCGGGTGTTTCTTAGCACATCCATACCCAGCCCTTACAAGGTGTTGCTCTCCCAGATGGGGAGGACCACTGTCTGAGACAGTAACTCTAGGAGTAGGTTCTCTGTGCTTCCTGCCTTTGGGAGAAAGGAAATAGCAACACCAGAAGCATAAGGGGAGCTGCTTCTGTCCCCTCTCCCACTAATACATAGACATGGTTTTGTTGTGTACTGAACTCAGGCCTGTGTCATTGTTCTGGGGACTCTGCCCGCCTGTGCTAACCCCTACTAAACAGAGCACGAGGTCACATAACCAGAGTGCATCCTCCGTGTCACTGTCTCTTCTGCGGCCTCTGGAGACACGATGCTGGAGGAGAAGCAGTCGCCGAAAGCTACTCCAGTCACCTTGTCTGGAGACAGAATTTTTTGACCTGCTCCCTCAGGGCTGAGTTCACTCCTCACCGCAAGGAACATGCAAAGAGTCCAGTTCGGGCCAAGTTCTCCTGCCCCCCCCAGTGCTGTCGTACAATTTGAGCGATGATGAAAACTGCCAGGGGGATGATGCAGAAATCATTCAAAAGCAGTGTGTCTGAGCTCAAAGAGGGATCCAGGGCTGAACTTTGCAGCTCGGGTCCATCCCTTGTTAAACAACAATGTGGTCTACATTTATCATCCGTAGTGCTTTGGGTATCATTCACTGTAGAGGAGTGGGGTTGGGCCGGGGACAGTGGTGTGGGGGAGAGTTCTGGAGAGAAGCAAGGAGAGCTGTGAAGATCAGTGGGAGAAAGGGGGAAGGAAGGGGGAATGGTGATTAGCACTGGGGAAGGGAGGAGGAAGAGGGTATCATGGAGAGGAAGTCGAATGGTTGGGAGGTGAGCGACGAGCTGAATCAAGGGAAGTGAGAGTCAAATGCAAAATCAGAGCTGGAGAATGGGCAGGGATGAGCGCAGAGTGGTCCAGAGGAGCCTGCACTGGGTGTTAATGGTCTAACTGGGTAGATGTTGGTAGTCTGCAGTGTTACTCCCGTGCCTGATTTCGGTACGTTGGCTGCCCATATGACTAGAGCACCTCAGCTCAATACCCAGAGGGACTGACCATCAGAAATCAAGCCAAAACTATCACAAAGAGACAGCGACCCGCGGGAAGCAGGCGGGCAGTGGTGAAAGTAAGGAGGGGATAGAAGCCAAGAGGATGCTGTGTCCGGTGGTGAGCGAGAGATAGAAACAGGATTTCCTGTTACACTTTAAACCAGTGGGAATTAGCCTCCTGCTCTTGATATCCATGTTTCACATACATCTAGCTGCTCAGCACGTTCAGTGATATTCCTTTTGCTAACAAGTCACCCTGGACCTTCCAGATTTACCCCGCTGGGATCCCAGAGGACCAGTTAAAGCTGTTTGGTCAGTTATCACGCCGCTACGATGGGAACGAGATCGGCACGTGGAGAGTGACTTCCAGTGACACACTATCAGCCTTACTGGATCCAGCAGGCGGACGCTGGAAGGCATCTGGGGTAAAAATGCCAGTGGCCGTTAACACAGCTATTGATTCATAGATTCATAGATTCATAGATTCTAGGACTGGAAGGGACCTCAAGAGGTCATCGAGTCCAGTCCCCTGCCCGCATGGCAGGACCAAATACTGTCTAGACCATCCCTGATAGATATTTATCTAACCTACTCTTAAATATCTCCAGAGATGGAGATTCCGCTTGATGCGCTAGAGCAAGAGAGTGTGATCCCACAGCCAGTAGATAATAGACGTGGGAGAAGGGAGAGGGTGGCATTAAGCATATGGAGTCCTTTGCTGACAGAAATGAAAGCTCTGGCCTTATTGCTTCCTTGCTAGTTTCACTCTCTTAAATACAATGGCACCGATTCTCCCCTGCTCCACGCACAGATTCTCATGGCACATTTTCACCAGCCCCGGCCTATCAGCGTGCTTTAGAGCCGCTTATGGGCTGCTCTACTTTACGCCAACTGGCTATTGCCTCCATGTGACTCTACGCCCGTTGTGAGTTGGTGTAGCACGGGCACACTCCACCCTACCCCCCCCCCCGCACCCGAGACCAGGCTGCAGAGGGGCAATGGAAGAAGGAGCCAGATGTGCTGGTTTCCTTTACACAAGGAGAACTTTCAACTGCCCGGTTAGGGCCAGATTCTACCATCTTGTGCTGATGCAACAGAGCAACGTAACCGGAACAGGAGTAGAGCATCCGAGCCAATATTTAGAAAGATGGTTACACCGCAGGATTCTATTTAACAGGCCTGGTGTGAGAGCTGAGTTTTGGGGAGAGGTATTTGATAGAGGGGACGCAGCTACAACTTGTACAGGGCCAAGGAGACTCTCCCAGGGGCATTGGCCAGCAGGCGTAGATGGGGAAGCGTCTGGATTTACATTCCTCCTCTTTTCATCTTGGCTGCATGGGCTAGAATGAGTCAGTTTCTCTGTTCCTGACAGCCCCAGCTTTGATCATTGAAAGGATACAGTGTTTGTAGCAGTTACTATACTACTCTTGTGTGTTTTTATAGGGAGGGTTTGTATTCCCTAAATAAATTCACCTTCTTTAATTTTGTTTTCCAGGCCAAGCAACTGATCACTAGATACACGGACTTGGGGGGCACCTTAACTGGACCCTTACTTCAGAAAATTGGTGGTAGAGATCTGTGTGGGCTGGAGGATGATCAGATTAATAAAATAAGCCCAGAAGCAATTGGGTAAATCACCTTAGAAATGGAAGGGGCACTTTAACTTCACGAGTGAATCTTTAGACTCACGTTAGTGCTGCGAAGTGTTGGACAAAACTCCACTCTTTCAGGGTGCGTTGTAACAAGCGCTCCAGAAAACCCTCCAGATTCTGGACATCTCTTGGGTCTGCAAAGCTGGGCTGGAGAGGTCATGGGAGTCAGGCAGCCTGGGTTTTAGGTCTGATTCTACCGCTGACTCGCTGTGTGACCATCGGCAAATTACTTAACCTCTCTGTGCCTTCACACAAGTAACCCTTGCCAAGGAACTGATCACTTGGAGTAAGGAATACTTGTGCTAGTAAGAGAAGCAAGATTTGTCTGCTATGGAGCAGGGCTGGTTGTAGGATCCCATTATGGTGGGGGGAGGGCCCTGTGGGTACTTTGGGGCCTGCGTGTAGCTATTTAAAAAACAAACAACATTCCGAGTCCAGAGGCTCGTTGGACCCCTACAAAATCTGGTATTTTCAGGGCTTTAAAAAGTGAAATTTGGATACTGCGTCGTTATTTGCGATGATTTATAATTTCTATAACTCTCCAATCTGCTGCTGTTCCACTGCTTAACACTGGATAACTTTGTACATATTTTGGACTTTCTGACAATTTGGGGCTCCTTGAAGATTTTCTTTGGGGGGGGTGCGGGGCGCAAATGTCCCCTTTGCCCCACCCCCTCCACCGGCAGTGACAGCCCTGCTCAGAGGTTAGAACTATGGGTAGGAACGAAAAATTGCAATAAACCTGGAGAGAAAATGCCAAAACAACAACGGTAGCGAGCTAATTGGCAAACAGTCGTTCTGAGGGAGTCTTGGGGTGATGCTGAAAAATTAATGAGCTACGTGCTTGCACTCTGCTATGGTAGCAAAGAAAGCCATGCAATTTTGGGCTGTTCTTACAGAAGCAGCATGGGCCAGATTCCTTGCTGTGCTGAGGTCATACTCTGCAGAGTGGCCAACGGGAGCCGCTGGCCCTGCCACCATTCTCAGGTTATTAGCCCGTATTCACAGGGTCAGATGGCCTGCCATATTTAGGATCGAGGAATAAATCATCCGTCCAATTAGTTATGGATCTTGGGAGGGTTCATATGGTCACAGAATTGGGCCTTTGTTTGCTCTCATTCTGGGCAGGAGCCACTGATTGTAACGTGCGACTTTCTCTTCACCTAGGACTGCTGGGAAATTAGACATTTCTTCTTGTTCACAAAGCAAGAAAGACCGGCTGTATGCAAAAGCCCGTGATGCCTTTGCTAGCCAAACTGGAACCAGTGCTTACTACCCTTTAATTCAGCCATATTTAGGTACGTATTTAAACTTTTCCCTTCTTTTATTCTAGTGCAGTTGATACAGGACTGGTCCTCCCTTGCCCCCTCCATAGATTGCCATAACTAGACGTTTATAAAAGACATGCAGTAACAACCCTGCTTGGAAAATGCTACCGCGTCTGTAAGTTTATTAAAAACCCTACCTATTTTTATTAAGGTGGAGCGCCAATAAAGGACCTGGAACACTTAGCAGGATCTAATATTGCCATGGATATCGACACATTTACTTCCTTAAAACCCAGCGAACTGCAGGTATGTTACACACATTCATTGCATGCTCCTTAAACTGCTGGCGCGTGCCTAGTAGAAGACCCCAATTCCATTGCTAGAGACTCTACCAGTTGTCTTGGTACGGTCAGGATCTCTAGTGGAATGTCCATCAATGCAATGCTACAGAACAGCTGGTGGAGTGAGGGATCCACAGAGAAAGGGGGTTTGCACCACTGATGCACATATAATGCTTTAGACGTGTAAAGTATTATATGTGTATCAGTGGTGCAAACCCCCTTTCTCTGTCCTGAGGAGCTGACGATCTCAGTAGACAGGGAATATAACTTCACAGGAGAGAGGCCGCGCAATTATGTTTAGCAAGTGTTAGCGTCAAGGCTATTGCCCAATGAGAACTGGATGGGAGGGATTTGGGATGCTGTCTCTTTAATACATATTTTTTTAGATGTTATTATTTTGTCAGTAATCATATTAGAAAAAGTATCCTCTGGTAACACCGCCGGTTTGTGAAGTTGAACTGTTTTCACAACTGCATTGCAGAACCTCAGTGTCCAGAATGTGAAAAATTTGCTTGGTGTAAACCTCCCTGATCTAAAACGAGCTGAAAATCATCCATCCGTGAGCAGCTGGATCCAGAGGCACTATCAATCGGAACTGGACAGCGTCCTGGGCATCGGTCTGCTCGGGGGAATGTCAGAGCCAGTCTCAGAGGCAACTGCTAGCAGTGGGACTTCCGCTACCCCTGATACCAGCACCACCCCACCGACCACCACCTACAATGTCACCATCCCCCACGAAACCACCTCCCCACCTGCTATCATTGCCCCACTTGCTACCATCCACAATACCACTACTACCCACAACACCACCTCCCCACCTGCTACCACCTACGATGACACCACAACCTACGATGACACCACCACCCACGACACCACTTCCCCACCAGCTACCACCTACAATGACACCATCCCCCACAACACCACTTCGCTACCTGTTATGATCACCCCACTTGCTACCATCCACAACACCACTTCCCCACCTGCTACCACCTACAATGATACCACCACCCATGACACCACTTCCCCACCTGCTACCACCTACAATGACACCACCACCCACGACACCACTTCGCTACCTGTTATGATCACCCCACTTGCTACCATCCACAATACCACTACTACCCACAACACCACTTTCCCACCTGCTACCACCTACAATGACACCATCCCCCACAACACCACTTCCCCACCTGCTACCACCTACAATGACACCACCACCCACGACACCACTTCCCCACCTGCTACCACCTACAATGACACCACCACCCACGACACCACTTCGCTACCTGTTATGATCACCCCACTTGCTACCATCTACAATACCACTACTACCCACAACACCACTTCCCCACCTGCTACCACCCACAATATCACCATCCTACCTGCTACTATCCACACTACCATCCCCCCAACTGCTATTATCACCCCAACTAGCATCACCCACAATACCACCTCCCTACCTGGTCCCACCCACAACACCACCTTCATCACCTCCCACAAGAAGCCTGTCACTTCCCCCCAGCCCACCCCAAACTCCACTTCCCCATCTCCCATCACCTCCACATCCACCCAAAAGACTGTCCTCACCCCAGCTTCCAGCACCACAACATCCACTGGCAAGTCTACCCCTACCTCAACAGCTACCACTCCCACAAGCCCTGGCAAGACGGCTGTTCCCCCTGCACCGGCCACCACCGTGTCTTCCACAACCATGATCACCCCCAAGACAGCCACTAAAAAACCAGCTACCAACACGACATGGCCACCAAAGCCACTACCACCAGGATACATCATTCTTGAACCGGTCACCGGTATGTATCTCTACAATGCACCAAAGTTAGGAAGAAGGAAAGTCTCAGGAAACAATCCCGGTGAAAAAATACCCCTTGACTAACACAGTCATTTGAGTCTGTTGATGACCAGCACCAGAATATGCATTCTGTTATTAGTAAGGGCACCCGTTACAGCTACTAGCAAATCAAGCAATGACACCCCACCGGGGAGTGCTATCATTTCACAATATGAAATGTGCTGCCATCAGATACTGCATGCGTTGCAGTCCAGTCAGGCACATCTTAGCACATTTACACATGCTCTGGGTATGTCTTCACTGCACACTTCACATGGGCTCTTAGCAAGTGCAAACTCCCCTGCCATCCACACCGAAAAACCTCACACCAGGGTTTGGAGGTGCTTTGAACTTAGTTTGGGTGACACGGCTGGGGTAGTGGGGATTTGAGCCTAGGCCGCAGGTTCACATGGGCTGGAATCCACCCACCTTGCAGCGAGGCTCCAGAATACTTATTTGAATGTTGGTAGTCCCCCAATGCTTTCCCACAATCCCCCTGGAAGGACAGACAAAGTCTTCTGCAGTTGACACAGTTGACTGGGAAAAAATCCTAGCGCGCCTCAGCGCCATGCCCCCAGGCCCACACGGGCGAGCGAGGAAGCAGGAATGTGTGTAGGGCTTTGCAGTGGGGATGCTCACGCCTGGGCTGGGCTAAGCAGGGTACCAGGGTAATTGTGCAGTGTAGACACAGATGTATATTGAGGCCCCAGCCTCTGCCGATGTGAGCTGTTAACGCTTAACTGACCTTAGTGGAGCTGTGTCTAGTTACACCTGCTGGCCATGTTTTTGGTGTATTTAGTGCTCCTGAAGAGAGATTTTAGCAGCCGTGAGGGTCCCAAGTATAACAAAGGCTGAAGCTGCTGTAGGGCAGGGTCCTCATATTGACCCAACCAAGGTCCCATCCCTGAGCTGAAGAAACTCTCTCTCTGAGACAGAGGAGAGGTCAATGTCCACTAACCGTCAGCCCTTGGCCTTTTTGCTAAGGCCGCCTACAACAGGATCCACGGGTGACACGTTATAATATTGTTCGCTCAAATATACCCGCCTGACTGATCCCCCAACCTCATTGCACATGGGCCACTGAATCAGACAGTATTGTTTGTCATTATGGAGCGGGTGTAGGGGGGTGAAAACATTATCTACTATACGGGGTTGGGCGGTGAAGCCACGGGAGCTGAACTGGAGATAGCCTCGTCACACCTGGGCTGGTGCGCAGGTGGGGAATTACACAGACAAATTCCTAAATGGCTTTTCTTCGAAAATGCTGTACTGTCAGATAGTACAAAGAGCCGGCTTCTCTCGTCAGTACAGCCTGGTGTGGCTCCACTGAGTTCAGTGGGTTTTTCTCCTGCCTTACATCTGTAATACCATCACCACTGCCAATACCACCGCCCCAGCTACCGTGCCCTAGAGTGAGAGGAAAAACAGTCCTTTCATGTATAGTAAGTTCTATTCCACCACGCTCTCTACCTGTAACCAGCTGTGGGGCGCTGTTGCATGGCTGTGCGACCTTGGGGGCTTGTAGGGACAATAGGTGACGTAGGCCAAAAGGTAACACCTCTCTGTCTACATTAATCCTACCAGGAGTGCCTGAATGCCAAACACGATACTGTTCCCATCACCCCTTTGGGCGTTCGGGTCTGACCACGCTGATCATATGGACAAGCCAAGTAATTCTGATTTTTATTCTTTCCATCATCCAGCGTCAGGATCCAAACCAGCTTTCCGTTTGCTGCATGCCATCTCCGTTACCATCGGAATCTCCTTGTTGAGCAGGGTTCTCTAATGCCACCGTCACAGGCTCTGCCTCCACCACGTTCCTCCTTCCTTTCATTCCTCCCCTGACCCAAAGTAGCTGAGATGGCAGCTGCAGATGTTTCATATCCCCCCCAAAGGGAAGCAGTGATGCCATGAAAAGCAAAGACGCACAGTATATCAAGCAGCTGTAGCACCGTCACTCTGATTCCCTGGAGCAATGCAATCATCCCGGAGAAAAGGGAAAGCATGTTAGCACTACGCCAAACAGCACACTGTGGGTGTTGTCGCTCAGCGGTTCGGAGAGAAGAGCATTACAAGAGTCTCACACCAGGACCAGGAGCAGCAGCATGCAGAAAATCCCCAAAGGACCCTTCCTATCGGCTCACTTTGCCCCATCCATGGGTATGCAAAGCCTTCTCCAGCTGATCTCCCAAGGCCAAGCCCTCCTCAGGAGCAGCACCTGATGCGTACTCTGCATTTCCTTGGTCAGCAAGGGTGAAGCCAGCCCATAGGGTTACCTGGAGGAAAGTCCAGTTGTGGGGAAGGTTGCAGGGGGTAAAGGACACAGGCTGAAATACTGATTCAGTTTGAAATAAACAGGGGACTATGGTAAGGCAGATGCATTGCTGATGTAACTTCACTGGTTTCAACAGGGTGAGGCTAGCCATGAATTTGACCCACTGTTCTGTGCACGGCACATTAACTACGCCTGGTTACCGATAAAACCGATCGGGCCAAGTCCTTGGTTGGTGTAAATTGCCACACTGCCATTGAAGTCAAGGGAGCTGCAGCAAATTACACCACCAGGGAATAACGTTATCGGGGGCGGGGGTGGGGAATCACCATTTTTCCAGCCAAAAAATACAAGTCAAAATAAAGTCAGATGACTGTGAGTTCTAGTCTCCCATTACAACAACCTGGACCTCTCCGCCATGCTGGGGTCTTTTATCTGCTGGGGATCAGTGTCACCATATGGCTAACAGGAACCTATCCCGGGGCCGGCTTCAGTTCCAAAATATTTCGGATTTCAGGCTGCGAGGCAGGCATGAGCCTGGAAGACACACCTGCCTACTAGATAAATACCAGTCATAATACTCTGATCAATTGTATTGTGGTTGGGTTGGGCTCCATATTGATCTGTCAAGGGGCTCCACTCTGCCACCCTTCCTTACATGGGGGAGAACTTGAGCCATAACTAGTCCCATTGGAATCACAATTGAAACTCGTGGAGTAAGTCACTGCCCACTGTAAGAGGCGCAGAATCGGGTCTATTATTCTTGCGCTATAAACACAGTAGTGTCATGTATCCATCTGACGGCTCTGCCAGAAATCCCATAGATGTATTTAATTTGCTTTATTTTGGACTTATGAGAGATCTTTGATCAGGATTTGTTCAAGCCCTGCCAAAGCCACTTGGGTGGGAACATTTATTTAAAAGCGTGTATATGGATTATCATTTTACTGCTGTATAGGCAACATCAGGCAAAGTATTTTACTTTTTCCTAATCACAGATGTCCCTTGATGTGTACAATGCTTTCAGTTTAAGCTGTCTTTCCACTTAGTTTTAATAAAATATGCCAGTTCCGTTCATAGATTGAGTTCCTCCACCTGTTTAGAAATGTAATTGCTACTTCTGTCTATCTCCTCCAACCAGGCTTGTATTCTCAGTCTTACATTTCAATAACTCTCCTATAAATTCTCCCCAATGAAGTGAACAGAGGGGAAAAATTGGGAAGGGAACCTCAGAGTTGGTCTCTTCCCTCCAGGTCGTCTACCTTCATGGTTTCTTCCCTCATGGGTTGAAGAGATTCTTATACATCTTCTTGCTGAGGGCAAGTCAATGGCGCTAGTAGACTGAGCGAGTGCTCATCCGTGTGAGGAAAGGCTGCACTGTCTAGCCAGAAGTGAGCAGTGACTTGTAGGGCTTTCATGGAACGTGCAAGTGACATGGTCAGAGGCAAAACACATGGGTGTTAGTGTGATAGTGTCTATCCCCCACCACTCCATCCCAGGTTTTGCACAATGTCCAGTTCATGCTGGAACAAGCCACTTTGGAGCTGTTAGAGATCTCCAGCTAGGACTGATCATTTCAATAAACCTGCAAAATTATTTACCTTACTGCTGAGATCCTTCGTATTCAAAGTTGTGGTGACCTGCGGCACAGCACCGTGTCTCTCATACTCAGCGAAACCCTACAAATGTGTAAACGGTGACACTTCCAAGCTGGAAATCCTCATTGACCCATGAGCATTTGCTCCTATGTTATCAGAAAAATGAGGCATTTAAACAAAATTAATGGGAAGCGAAAGGTCTAGACTGATTAGCTGTATGCTTGGATGAAATATATTGGTATATCCCTCTGGAATGCCTTTACTTTCTTCTCCCTCTCTCTGGTTTTAACCAGCAATTCCATCTTGGACCCGAGCAATCTTCCCACTGAGAGTTTTGTTGAACCTGGTACACGCCATGAAATTTTGGTTTTGACAGAAATCGACGTTTCTGAACATTCCCCAGCCAGCGCTGCTTTTAACCCTGCAGCCCGACGCCAGAGGCTGCCCCTGGTGAGGAAGATCCTTTATTGCTTCCTGAACATCTGGACTGTCCTCAGCTCCCCTGCAAGTGACATCAGCCACAGGAGAAGTAGGGGCAAGCAGGGCCGGCTCTAGGCACCAGCGCTCCAAGCATGTGCTTGGAGCGGCACTTTCCAAGGGACAGCACTCCGGCTTCTTTTTTTTTTTTTTGCTTGTGGTGCAAAAAGCCGGGAGCCGGCCCTGAGCGGAGGTGAGCTGCGGCAGTGGGGGGCGTGGGGAGGGCCGCAGGAAGTAACCCGGGGGGGACGGGGGCAGAGGAACCGCTCCCCCCCCAGCTCACCTCCGCTCCACTGCTGCCTACTCCCCCGAGCGCGCCGCTGCTCCGCTTCCCCCCCCCCAGGCAAGCCTGGGAGGGAGGGGTCAGAGGGGAAATGTGGCATGCCCGGGGGAGGAGGCAGGGCTGGGGATTTGGGGAAGGAGTTAGAATGGGGTGGGGAAGGGGC